GAGCATGGTCATCATATATAAAAAATAATAATATTAGTCATTGATTTCATTGAAAATCGACTATGCATCCGTACACGCAACACCAACTATTTGCTATTATTTTTTAATATTTTAAGATTTATTTTTTCAAATAAAATAATTAAAATAATATTTTAGAAGAATCACCTAATAATTACAATATCATTTTTATACTAATATTATTCATTATTTTGAAAATAGATATATATAAATCAAACGTAGATATTAAAAAAAAAATTCTTCTCATCGGTAAAACAAAAAATTCATTTGTTTATTTTTATATTAATTAGTACTTTATTTCTTCGATACAATATTATGAAAAAAATGTTAAGATGTTTTTTAAAAATTTTATATTATATTTAGTTTATTATGAGTTTTTAGTTAAGAATAAATGCATAAGAAAGAAAAATCGTGATTTTTTTTTCTTACTTCAAATTTTATTCAAAACATAAAAAAAAATAGATACAAAATTTTAATTAAAAACTATAAAATTAAATGAAATTTTATCTTTTATATTTAATTTAACATATTTTAATTAATTAACATCATAGTATAGATTATCAAATTAAAATAAATATGTTTAGTTACATTTACAGCTGAGTGTAGGATTCTGACTGATATATGCTAAATCATATGCTATGATTTGCAATATTGGAAGTAGCTTTTCGCTCTTCATTCGAAGACAGTTTATTTTTCTAGCCTGCCATTTTAGATAGATTAATCACAAAGATTAGGCAAATAAAATTGAAAGTACCGGTGACAGAACTGGTGTCTGTTGAAGTTTCCTATTGTTTAATCAAACATATAAGGAAAGTTGGGGGAGGGTGGTTCTCCACTGTACATCCATTTGTCTTTAGGTTGCTGTAGGTATGACCTGAGTATATGTACAACCTTTGGAAGAGAGATTTCCTCTCTGTTAATTCTTGGAATTGTCTAGATGCATGTGACAGATCTTAAAAAAAGAAAAGAGGGAATTAATATAAGGTAGTACGTAGCTAAAACTTGTACTGCAAATAATCTTGTGCCTATTCAATGCGTGCAGATATATAGTTTCAGTTCGTACAAGGACTAAAATTTGGAGGAGACGGTTTTAACTTCCATAAGCTTGGTAGATAATATCTATAGGCAACGGAGCTTAATTAGTTGTATAAGCTGAGCTCGTGCTGAATTTCATTCTTTTTTATTTATGAAATAAAATCTTTTCATCAGAAAAGCATGACAAGATATTTCTCGATCTCCAGGCATTTACTACTATTTGTTAATCTTTTATCTATTTATAGCTGAGCTTTTGATTCAAGACATTTAAGTCCTGATTGTTTAGCTAAAAAGGTCATCTATTTAATATCGTCTTAATAGTGTTGAATCCTTCTAGCAAAGCTGTATGCCCAACTACTTTATTTTGCATTCAACAATGAAAAATTTTCACCCAGTTTTGACAGATTGATAACTTCACCAAAAACAGAAGTTAGAAATTTATATTTTTCTAGAACTTAATTCTAAAGCCTTAGTTGGAAGCTAAGTAGGATGAAGCGGAAAGCCAGCAACCACAATGATGATGCATGGAGCTGGAGTGGGTGCGCAGTTGTGGAACTATGTGTTGTGTGCCTTCGTTGTATTGTTGTATTACTCTGAAACTTGTTCTGAAATTGCATAATAAGAGCATTAACAACAGAGCATTAATTGCAAAACACTATACTCTAGTAACAATCCATTTTAGTATTTGTCTACAGACACTCTTGCACTTTAGTCAAATGAAATAGTAGTGCTGGGATTTCTCATGCAAACTCAGATCCTTTTCTCCTACTGTACTTGCATGTCTTGTACAAGAGTTTTTGCTGTGAATGTACTCGAGTGGAACTTATCTTCCTTTTTTTAAAAAAAAGAATTAGGTGGAACTTATCTTAGCCACACTTACGTGTTTTTGGCGGTTTGCTGGATGTTACTGTTTGCAACCTCCATGTGATCTGAGACTATCAGACATCTTTTGGGTGGGGGTTTCCCAAAGCCAAGTCTCCTGTGTACAGTACTGGGATAATAGCCGAAGTGCGTTGGAATTGAAGGACGTTGGGGCTTATTAATGCGTTGACCCTTAAAGGCTCCCATTCCGGCATGTGGGCACTAGTACTCCTCCGCTGCAGCATACCCAGTGATTTCTGTCATATTTGCCGCTGTGATATGACCTCTAGTTGAGTAGGATTGCTTGACCCCAGGTTATCATGACATGTTACATTGATCGATTAATGATCATTTCACCGTTACCATGACAACTTATGTTTGTAATAAGTTCTTTGGTAAATAAATTAGATGCCAGTCACTTTGATACCCTTTTGTTTTGCTAACATAAAAAACAGGACCGTACAAGAAAGGCTGCTTGTGAAAGGAATCTCAAACAGGTTGCACCACGTTTTCTAGAACATGCTGAAAAATTAAAATGGGTCTCTGCAGGAATACTTTAAGTTCTAGCTTTTAAATTTGACTGCTTTGTTGTTTTTCAGCAAACAAGAAATTTTTATTTTGTGAATGTTTTACCTTAGCTTTGGAAGGAAACACTTAGCCAGCTAGTTAGCTAGCTTCAACTTCTTAAATACTAATTATTACTCAAAAGGATTTGTTTTAATTTTTTTCTAAATATTGTTGTTTGATGAATTTCTTGTTTTTCTTCTCTAGTGTTTTGTTTATTGAGGTTATTGTTGTTGATGGATGAAATTAAGGTAATGATAATACAGTAGTAATTAGTTCATGGTCCGTAGGTAATGATCATCCAGTAGTAATTAGTTCATAGTCCGTACAAATTAAGACACGTATTTGCATCTTAATTGGTTTAACCTATATAGATAGAGACAGCTATATGCGTTTTAATTGGTTTTATCTTATACAAATAAAGACACACATACATAGATACGAATCTGCTTCTTAATTGATTTGTAGTTTAAATTTAGCCAAGCGTATCAGGACGCCGTAGTTTTTTTCAAAAGAAGCAAAAGGCCACCTCATATAACTATTCTCGAGACATAACGACATGGGCCAGGATGTAATCTAATGCGTCTTGGGCTTATTGTGTCTCTATTGATATGAAAGTGTCTTAATTAGCCCTTCTTTGTTAGTGCGTCCTCGTTGAACAGACCAACAGCTTCTATGGAATCAGCCTATGGAGCCAAATTTATAGAGTAATATTCCATTATGAGTTCTATTATTGGTTACTTGGTCGTAAACTATTTTGAAATTTTGATCAAAAGAAACTTATTTTTAACCTCTCTTCTCTATCTGATTATAATCTTTAAAATGTTTTTGATCAGTCTGTCGTCTTATTCTTAAATGATTTTAAAGTGATTCATCCATCTAATAATTGAAGCATACACGTATTGTCATGTGATTATCCAAAAAAAAAAACCTCAAAACTATATTTATCAAAAATAAAACTTGGTTTTTGAAAAAAAAATTAAATTACTCTCTCACCCTCAAACCGTATTTTGTTGAATAAAAAAAAAACTCCTTTGACTCTCGTGCTATTAAATTCCAAATCAGCGGTGACCATGGTCCGACGAAGTGGTCGCGAGGCAAAACCTGTGCCCAGGATATGGCCTAGCTGTAAGCTGGAAGCATGTAAAATCTGACACGTACCCGCTTTCAAAGCTGGATGGGACATATAATGCCCGATTTAAACCGGTATGTTACTCTGGGTCTGGTAAGAGAGCTGACTTCATAAAATACTATGGACGTCGTGGGCCTCAACTTTAATCAAATCATGTCCAATATCCACTTACTATTCCACTTAGAAACTTATTATTGCAGACGCAGTCCAGCCCATTCAACTAATCTTTTTCTGGTTAGTGCAGATGACATAGCCGTTGGTTACCCACTACTGTTGCTTTCGTTTTCTTCTTCTGGTGAGGGAGTCTTTGGATTCCTTTTCTTAACGGTAAGGAACTTCACCACCAAGTTTATATTACCACTTCACAGGTTGCATACCAACTGACGGTGACACTTAGCCTAAGGTTGTTCCTTTCATATTACTCTAACCGCCATTTTCCAGTTTTGCTAATTATCTTGGAACACACTCACATACCACATTTACCCTTGCCGCTTGCCAATTATTATACCTTACTTTTTACTGTAGTATTTCCATTTTATGTTATATAATCCTCTAAACTGATCATAATTGCTTTCATCATTTCATATTATGGAAAAGATTAAACAAGACTGATCTTTATGCCATCATACCTTAAATCATCTAGGTAAAGAGGATACCATTATTGAAATGGTAATGATCAACGATTTTCTCTCATTCCAAATAATGATGCTATTTTGGCATAAGCTAATGACTAATAGATTTGCCTTTATTCAACACCATCTCAAAATCTTAAATTTAATGGAAAGATCTAACATCATTAGCATAATTATCAATTATACATCCATGACCTTAGATTGATGATCCCGCTTTTTTGGACTTTAGAGGTGGTTATGATGCAACTTTTATAATCCATGATAGAGATATGCAAAGTAATGATTTAGCTAGACTCCAATTTCTGTTGATTTTAAATTAAACTCCTGTGTTATATTTGATAATCCGTATTAAAAAGAGCTTCTGTACCTCCTTTGTCTTAATCCAAGAATGGCAAATTCGGAAAATGAGCTCAAATCCCCATCTTTTTCAAACACCAAAGCGGTCCATGTTAACTGACACGAAAGCAACATGACCTGTTATAACCAGTACCCTACCCTCTTCAGGTTTCCGTTTTAAAACCTCCAAAAGCCCATCTGTTTTTATGTCCTTCCCCCCGTTCCCTGCTCTCTCAACACATCCATCTGCTCTCTCTGCTGCCCAAACCCTATCTCTCTCCATATTCCCATTTTACCGTCCCAAAGCCCTCAATTTCCTTTAGAAACTAACCCATTTCTCACAAAAATACTATATTAATTGCTTTCATTTCTTGAAGTCCGAAAAAACCTCAAATTATACTCGAGTTCAGTTATTTACAACAATGTCTGTGGCTACTAAGCCACAATCAGCAGCAAAACAAATGCACGAGCCGCCACGAGCGATACTTGGTCCCACGGGAAACAGAGTTAGGGTTTTGGAGGAGGCTAAAAGGAAAATTGAGTTTTTAAAGAAATCACAGCAGAAACCAAGGAAACCTGTGGAGAAAATGTCTCAAGCTGCAGTTAAGAATAACTTGTCAGTGGATAGCACTTGTTCTTCGGATTCTTCTGGTTCTTCAATTTCTGGAAGGAATGTGAAGCGTAATGGAATAAAACAAGTCAAGGATGTTACTAATGGAGGCGAAATTAAGGATGTTTTGTTGAAGAAAGAGGGGCCGGTTAAGAGGTGTGATTGGATTACTCCGAATTCTGGTAAGAAATTAGTAAATTTTAAGGATAGATGTATTCGTAATGTTATTGGGCGTAAAAGTTGAACTGAAGGGTTTTGAAAAAACAGGGGAAAGTTAGTTGCTTGAAATTAATAATTTTAGTGATTTTTTTTTTAGTGGAGATTTAGTGTTTTAGATCATATAATTTTGAAGAAGTGGTAGCGGGAATTAGTAAATATGTTACCAGTTTGGAAATGGTTTTATTTATGGATTTTTAGGTATGCGTAAAGTTTGTTTGATAATTAAACATGGCGAGTATGCAATAAATGAGGTTAAGATTCATAAATAAATAAATGTGGCGAAGTGGAAGATGGGAATCCAGCCAAGGCATTGAAGCTTGTGATGGTAGGGCTGTTGGAAGGTCTAATCTGGCATAGCTTCTTAGTAACTGTTGAAACTAAAAGTGACTGAAAATCCAAAAGTGTTATACTAGCAATTATGTCATTATTTGGTCAAAGATGCTTTTCTATTTGCTTAATCTTCTCTTTATATCTTAAAAAGGCATCGTTTGACAGGTTTCCAAAAAAGTTTTCTCACTAAAAGATGAGATTGAGCCACGGTATTGCCATAAATTTGATTTCTGGTGTTTTTTTGATCTAGCTTACCACTGTTAAAATCTCTGTGAAAAATGAGTTTCTTTGTACCGAGGTTGAGACATATCAAGTTTCTTGTTGAATCAGCTTCGAATTGTTTATTTGTCATATTTCTGTTAAAGAATCTATTATCATACGATCCAGAGATAATTCGTGATACATACCGTGAGACTATTATTGACTTGTCAAATAGTGCTTGAATAAACTGGAATAAAAACACAAAGTTTGCTAGCAATTACATATAGATTTTTGAAGTACATGGACAAGATGAACAAAGGACCTAGAAGGTGCAAAATATCTCCATGCATTGTTTTCACATTATTGACAAAATGAAGAGTTTGAACTAGTCCTTGAGAACCAATGCCATAAATAGATTTTGGTGCGGAATTTTCTAATAGCATGGCAATGAGCAATCAGCAGGGCAGCATTTTGATCGCCTATCAAGATGGTAGAATAAGACAAGGGTAATTTCATTGAATTCAACTTTCGTAGTATAGGTTTTGATCACTTGTCTAAATTAAGAACTCCGTTTGTGTTATTTTCCAGTTATTATTTCCCCTGTTTTCACCAAGTTACCTGAATTGTCAACTTGTCTTATTGGAAACTCAAGTAGCTAACTTTTATGGTTTGCTCTATGGTGCTTTTTATTCGCAGACCCACTTTATATGTCTTTCCATGATGAAGAATGGGGAGTTCCAGTTCATGATGATAGGAAACTGTTTGAGTTACTTGTATTTTCACAAGCGTTAGCAGAACTCAGCTGGCCAGCAATTCTTCACATGCGAGACATATTCAGGTATGTTTTTCTCTACTTTTTATGTTTGTCAGTTTCAAGAAAAATGGACTTGATGAATTTAATGTGATGCTTTTGTTGTATTTTAATGTCAGGAAGCTGTTTGACAACTTTGACTCATCATCCGTTGCACAATTTACAGAGAAGAAGCTCCTATCATTGAAAGTTAATGGGAATCTGTTGCTATCTGAACCAAAGCTTCGTGCAATAGTGGAGAATGCTAAACAGATGCTCAAGGTAATTAAGTCATCGATTCAACCAGCCTCCCAGGATATTTGCTTATAGCTTGTGGTAGGCTGAGTTCAATCCAGCTTCCTTCTTCTCTCAAATTAACAATATTGCCCTGCTTCCTAGCATCATATGCAAGTTTAAAGGGCTCAATTTGTGATTTATCTTAACTTTATTTTCAGAATTTTGGATTTCGCATCATTCTAATGACACTAGAAATGCAAAAACAGAGGGGATCATCTTATATTAGACTTATCTTTTTGTTTGTTGGTTGGTTTGGGGTAGAGGGGCAAAATCCAAATCCAAGACCCTGAGAGAATTAAGTTTAACACTTGGACCACTGTCAAATTAAGTTGAGATTCATTTGCATAAATGATAGAAGCTAATGAGCTTCTCTTTGCTCTTAATGTGCAGATTCAGCAGGAATTTGATTCCTTCAGCAACTATTGCTGGCGGTTTGTGAACCAGAAGCCATTAAGAAATGGTTTTCGCTATGTGCGTCAAGTTCCTGTGAAGACCCCAAAAGCCGAACTGATCAGCAAGGATCTGATGCAAAGAGGGTTCCGTTGTGTTGGACCCACTGTTGTGTATTCATTCATGCAAGTGGCAGGAATTGTTAATGATCACCTGGTAGCATGCTTCCGATATCAAGAATGCAATGTAGACTTGAAAAAGGATTTCAAACCCAGGAGTGAAGAGACAGAGAGAGTTACTAAAGCTTTGGGGAACACATGCGTATCTCATGACTGATCTATCTAAACCATGTATCTCTGTCCCTGACTAATCACACTCATAAAACTATAGCAAGATTAGTGGCAGACCAGTTGTTATTTTGTAATGAGTCAGTAACCACATCTGGATTTTCTAAGCAGCATAGTTTCTTCTTCCACTTGTGTATCCTTTTCCTAACTAAAGATTACTGGAATTAAAAAGACAAATCTTGTTATTTTTATAGCAGTAAATTTCATTAACTTCTTGTTCAAGCATGTTATGTATCTTGGTAATTGTTAGTTTGCATGAAGGCTCTTGCAAGGGGATCATGGAAATGGCTGCAACTGATGAATGAAATAGAAATCTAAAGAAAATAGATTTCTTTAAAAAAAAAAAATTGGTAAGATCTATTTTTATTAATATTATGAATTTTTAATCCGTCTCTTTTTTGTTAATTGCATTATTATGTTATCGAATAATATTTAATTCTTTAATCTATTTTTACGGTTATAGATCAATTTTTTTTACTGAAAAGAAAAAAAATCCACTTAAAGTGACGTGATTTATGTTTTATTTTTAAGTTTATATATATATATCATTTTAGTTAAAAAAAATTTGTCCTTTATTAAAAAAAACAGATTGAACACTTAAACGATATCCAAAAATATAATATACCTAATTAAAAATATAAAAACAAATTAAAGATTCAGGCTATTAGATAAACATAAATTAAACTATTTATTCAAATAAATAAATAAAGTTTAGTCGGCATGTACACATCCTGTATAAATCAGATCCTGCTAGGTATGACATTGTTATTTTTTGGCTGAATGAAGTAATCTTTGTTTTTCTTTGAGCTCATAGCGAGCACACCTTTTTTCTCTGGTGACATCTAGATAATCTTTCTCAAGTGAAGGAAGGTAGGGTGTTATAGATTTGACTTTTACTGTTCATGACTTATTTTTAGATTATTCACCCTCTCCTATTTCATTATTCATCCAGACTTATTAATACTATTATGGTGGCGTTTTTGTCATTTCCTGACCTTTAATAGTAAGAAAAAGGATGGATATTTGCCAACTTTGCATTTAGGTACTTCTATTTTTCACCAATTGCATTCTAATATTCATATTATTTCCATCATGTTTCAATCCCTGAGTTTAGAGAGAGAAAATGGCGGGAGAGAGGGAGGAGAGATAAAACTCCGTCCAGTCTCGTTCTGACCTTCAAAACCTCCGATATTAGTGTCCATTAGTTTTTCTTGAAAAGAGAAGTTCATTGATAATGGTTATTTCAATAAAATAATATGTAAGAGGAGATTGAAGTCTGAAAATATAAATAGATTTTAGAATTTGATTCGGTTTCTTTTGGTGGATGACAATAATTTTTGAGGTTGGAAATAGGTATTTGAGAGTTTTTCGTATGATTTTGAGACTGTTTCGGTAAAAAAGGGGAAACATTTGGATTTCGAGGGTCGGAAAAATTGCAAAGGCGAACAACACATTATTTTGTTTTGCAGGCTAGCCTGCCAACCCCAACACGCAGGCCTAGGTTCCCAAGCCCAATCTCGCACAAGCCTAGCACATCCGGCTCGTTTCTTTTCTTTCCTTTTCTGTTTTAGTTGATTAAAATGATTTTCGAGCTTGGAAATAGGTGTTTGAGAGTTTTTCGTGTGATTTTGAGACAGTTTCGATTAAAAAAATAAAGGGAAACATTGGGTTTTAAGAGGTGATCTCCATTTAACGCTGGCTAAAAGTTGCAAGGACAGAGGACACTTATTTTTTTGCAAGCTGGCTTGTCAGCCCCAACCCGCGGGCTTAGATTCCCAAGCCCAAGCTTGCACGGTTCTACCTCACCTGGCCCGTTTATTTTCTTTTATTTTCTTATATTTTAATTTTTTGCAGTTTTTTTCCTCCATAAAAGGTTTTTTTTTTTCAAGATTATTCATCACATAAATTTTTTATTTATAAAAAATTAAATTGTTGGCAATCTTGCATATAGTGCAGCAATGAATGAAACTAATTATCTTATTGATTTGGTTTGTTTTGATTTAGCGCATTAATCAAAATAAGTTTTTTTTTAAAAAAAAACAGAGTTTTTGATTTTTTTGGACTTTCATAAATAAATATTAAAAATAGGTCTAGATTAAATTTAATTCTTAATGATATAAAATTTTGTTATTGTCAGTTTTAAATACAATATGGAGGACTTAAGTTTTTTTAATTTAATTTATGCAAATATTATAATATTTTGGGATCATGAATAATTTGGAATATAAAAATTATTTGCAAAAATTAGTGTATAATTTCATTTTAAAATAGGCGATTTTTAGATTGTATAAGTTTATTACAGTTTTTCTTATTGTCACGGTTTAACATTCAAACAATTTTCTTTATCTACTTTTTTTCTTAATTTATTTAAACTCAAATATAAAATATACAAATGATATTAAATACTATAACTAAATATTAAATTAAAATTTTTTTCAGATAATATTAATTAATTTTAATTTCGTATATTTAAATTTTCATAATTGATTAAAATATCAAACCAGATTTTATGACTGAAACTGTTGGTATTGTAGTTATATTGGGTGAGTTGAAAATGGGTTAGTAGCAGGATCCTGTTCTTTTCAGCCGAAGGTAATGGGGTTTACGATAACTCGCGCTGAAGCCCAACGTTACCCTCTAGGGGAAGCATTCGCAGAGGGAATGGATTGACGGCCTGCAACCTGCCGAGGCCCAAAACAATTGAGATTCGAAAAGTAAAGTCCAAAAAATTTATTATGCCGTTTCAGCCTTAAAACCCTAAGAAATTATTGGATACATCCGAGTTAGGTTCCTCCCTTGACATAAAAACATGTACCTTATTATAAAAATTATCAATAAACTCAATTTTTATGTGGAAAAAGGAAATATAATTTACAAAATACCGAAGAATTCCTTCAAAATCCTACACCAAAAGAGATGGAAACTCATGGCCTCACTTCATTCTGTCACTGTCGCTTATGCGCCATTTAGTAATGCAGTTCGAGTGTTTTTTAAAATAAGTTTTGATATAAAAATAGTAAAACCATTAAAAAAAACATTTAATATTATTTGTAATTAAAAAAACATTTTTAACTACCTTACCAAATACAAAGTCTAGTACTTTGTTCGATGAATATTTATTTACTTAGTTTAAATATTTTAGCTAACTTTTTAAAACCTATTTATCCAAAAGAATAGATTTATTTTGATTAAATATGCTATTCTCTAGTAAATAATTAAAGCCAGAGTCCTCTGTTCATATATTCAGATTTGAGACAGTCAAATGACGTTGTTTCATACCCATCATTTATATAATCATATTATTAACTAAATAAACTAAAACAAAACAATCGGTTACTCGTTTCAAATATTGTTCATATACTAACATTTTATTATTCATTGTGTTTTTTATACTTTGGTCCTTGATCTTTGTCAAACGAATTTTTTGATTCATATCTTCATTTGCTCATTCATTTTGGTTCCTGGATGCGAGAGAAGGAAGGGGAAGAGAGAGACGGGAGGAGAGAGAGAGATCGCCGGCCAAGCTTATTTAGGCCGCTTTGGCCGGCGAAAATCCATTAGATTTATTTATCTTGGAGAGATGAGTTTTTCCATGGTTGTTTCAAGCCATTAAACAATTAGAAGAGATAGATCGGAGTTAAAAAAGGAAAAAAAATCCAATTTGATTTTGTATTTTTCTTTGTTTTTTGTGCATTAAAATGATTTTTAAGGTTTTAGATGTTTATTGGTTTTATTTCGATCATTTAGAGGTGTTTGTGGAAAATAATGATGCCGGAATTCAATTTCTAAAAATCGAAAGTTGACCTTCGATTTTTCGATGAACTTACGACGACCTCTAGTTCGTCGAAAATTGTAAGATTTTTTTTTTTTTTTTTGAAGTGTCTGGTTGCACAAACCAACCAGGTGCACTGTCCTGGTTGGCTTAAGTTAACCTTTTTTTTTCTCTTATTTGTCTCCGATTTCATGTGTCTCATGTCCGGAGTTCTATTTATGGACCCTCTCACTTTTTTTTTTCTTTTTTTCCTTTCCCTTTATATATTTCCTCTTTTGTTTTTTCCTTCCTTTATATACTTTAGGTTTAAATTATATATTACAAGTTTTTATTTAGGAATCCCTAAATAAAGAAAAATAAACCATGTTTTTTAAGTAGAAATTATATGAAAAACAAAATAATAATAATAATGAAATAAAAAATTATAAAATTTTGAAATGATTTTGTTCTGTCTACCCATTGTGTTGTGCAGATAATTTCAAATATTAATCATCTTATCAACATTAATTAAGAAATTTTTTTTCCATTTGTTAGCTTTTATAAAAATCTATTTATAATTATAACTTTGTTTTTTAAGACAATATGATAAAAAATATATTTGAAAAGGTTTTTTAATTCTTAATTAATATTTTGGTTAAAATCAATCCATACATAGGAATGATTTATGTTTTTTTTTAAGTAAAAATTTATTAAAATAAAATTGACTAGTGTCAACTATCTCTAATCCATTGTTTCGGTATGAAATGTCCGAACGTGGGTGTTTTCTGGTCATCCCATTCAATAGCCAGCTCGTAGTGGGCCATGTGCTTGGAAGATCATCAGCACCGTAGCTGTCAACCCAACCCAACCCCCCACCCCACGACACCCACACCCCCACCCACCACCACCACCACCCCCCCCCCCCCCCCCCCCCCCGCGCCCGCGCGCCGCCTCACGGGTTCATGACAAAAGGAAAAAAACGTCTGAATTGGTTGGATAAGCATGAAGCTTTTGACGCACCTAACCATACATTAACATTTGTTTCTATTGTTGCTAAAAATAAAACCTCTCTTTCTACTGATTTCTATTGTTGCAAGCCACCATTTCCATGTCATATATAAAGCATGATTTCTTTTAATATCTATCTTCATGACTGGTAATTCATTAGTAACGTGAAAATGTTAATGAAAAATGAAAGTATTGATTATGAAGAAAAAAGAAAATGGACACAGGGACAAGAAGAACCTTGAATTATTTTTTACAAACATAGAAATAGATTTCTGAAAGAAAAATTCATACTTTTAATTCGAATTTCTTATGGAATTAACTCACATTCACACAACTAGGCCATCTTTTTCAAAGAGTAATATTTTTTTTCACCAAATTGCAAAATAAAAATTTAGTTAAAGGTATTGGAGGATACTAATACACAAGTTGGAAAGGTCCACCACAATATGGTGTTCGAAGCATTGGAATAGAAGCAAGAGACGATAATAGTTAACTCTAAGAAGAAAAAAATTTTCTTGACAAAAATTTACTCTGTTGTTGTTTTATTGTGGATAATTAACTCACCTCTATTGCAAACTATGAATCAGTAATTGAGTAACTAGTTATTTGACTGTTTAAAAGAATCAATATTATAGTATTATAATATTTTTAAAATATATGAATCAACAATTGTATCAATTCATAAAAAGGTGTAATTCATTTCGTGATAAAGGATAATATTGTATTAAATTTGGAAGAAAACCTAAAAAAAAAAATTAAAAGAACGTAGACTGCGGTTAGTCTTTTTGGTTTTTTTTTTTTTTTTTTAGAAGAAAAAATATCCATTTCATTGATACTAAATATATATAAATAAATCATTATTTTCACTATCTATAGAAATTATAAATTAATGTTTTGAAAAGTAATTGACAACACAATAGTATGAGATATCTTCTTGATATATAACAACAAATACTTTCAGTCATCTGGTTAGCAACAACAAAAAATTGATGAAATTCTCGAGTCTGAACTGCCGAACACATGCAAATAAGTCTGGGTTATCGTAAGTCATTGAAAGAATGCGTTATTATAAACCAACGATGAAACATATGGCAACACTATAAACCAATCAGTATCAATGTCCTATATCCAGTTAGAAACAATTACTATATTTTTATTTAAAATTTTTAAAAAAATTACAATAGGTGAGGAGAATAAGTAACCAATTCACAACCATAAATATAAATCTAAGCATAAAATATTGATCTACGTATACAAAATTAAAATCTAAATTATGAGTAAAAAAAGGCAGCTGATGAATCTAAATCACGAGGGAAAAAAAGGTTGCTATGGATGATTCTCATTGTAGGCAACTGGACAATTACTTTATAAAAGATTAGGTTTAGAGAGTTTTTTTTTTAAAAAAAAAGAAAAGAAAAAAAAGAAAGAGCGAGAGGAAGTGTGTAACTTCCTTTGTTTTAACGATGAAAATGAGAGTAATTAGAAACTACTAGCTAGTTGGTTATTTACATTACGTTGCGATTGGGACAACATAAGTGAAATTATTTCAAAAACTTATTCTAATTTGATAATTTTTGTTGCACTATTTGATCCAACAAAATATATCAAAATCAAAAATATTTTTTTTTCAACTAACCTTATGATTTTTAATCATAATTTTGTATGTAATTAATAATTTCTTATATTCTTTTTAATAGATTTCCTATTTAAAAAAAAGATTTATTTTTATTTATGCATGAATTCTTATATAAAAATTTGCAATGGAGAGTAAGTTTCAATTAATATAAAATTGTAAAAAAAAAAAAAACATTATAAATTTAATATTTTTTTTAATAAGATTGCATAAAATAAATAAAGCAACAATTAATATAAAAATATTGCACAAAAATAAAAAAATAATTTTTTATCCTTATTAAATATTAACGAGGAGATTAATTTTTAAAAGCATGTGTATTAGGTTTATATATATATATTCTCAAAATAATCAATAATATTAACGCAAAAAAAAAAAACATCATTTAAAGAGTATTGTAGTATCACATGTATTTTTTTAAACATAATTTTAATTATTTTATTTGAGAGAAATTGATGTCACACATCTATTAAAAAATACTAAATGTTAAGTATTTTGTGTGCACATGCTCTGCCTGTAAAATTAATTTTAATGAATTTTTATTATATAAAGAAGATGTAAATAAAGCGTGTGTATTCTATCGTTCTTAATAAGTATTTTGTTTCTAAGTCATACATATCTAACTCTCATGGATAGGGCTCACACTTATAACAATCACTTCTTCTTTTTCTTTCACTTCTCACATTTTAATTATCAATCAATTATTTCAAAAATTATTTCTTAAAAACTCAAGAAAAAAAAATATGCAATACACTTCAAACCTTTAAACCAAACATATATGTTTACCATCATAATAGTTTCATTTAAGAATTAAAAACTTCATAGTAGAAACTATAGTTTTATTTATTTATTAATAAAATAAAATAATCATGTTCATAAAAATTTGTTTCAAAATCTAAACATGAGAAAGATATATTATATTTATAAATAAATAAAATTTAATAAAAAAAGAAAAGAAAAAAATTAATTGGATGAGAATTTCTATCAAAAAATGATAAATTAATAAATCTAAAATACAAAAGCACGTCATTAATATTTCTGCCTCGTTAAACTGAAGAAAAATGAAAAAGATAATTGTGAATTTTTCAAAATCTAAGCATAAAATCAAATGATAAAAAAAAAAAGCAAAAAAAACAAAATAATAAGTTGAGCCTACGTGTGTCAGGCATGAACCTTTAATCTTGGAGACTCAAGCCCACGCGTGCACCGACTAGCACATACGGACCAACCTTCTTTTTGTACAAAAAGTAAATGGTGGACGACTTTTGAAATTTTACTACATTTTTATCTCAAAACATTTCAAAATTATTAAAATTAGTTCAAAAAAACCTATTTGAAACCTCAAAATCCATTTTAATGTTACTAAAAATATAAAAAATTTAAATTAAATTCAAAAACTCAAAAATATGTTAGAGTTTCGATTTTCTTCTATAAACTATTTCATGTTTGGAGACTAAAACAAATAAACAAACTTTTCTCTTCAATATGAACAAATCAAAGTCAAAATTAATGGTCAAAATAAAAGGATCGAGCCTCGTTGTGGGGTTTCTCTTTCTTCATTTCTCTTTATATTTAGGAACCAAATCGTAATATAAATTAAACTAGAAATCAAAACAAGTGTTAAAAAAAAATTTAGAGACCGAAGCATAATATTTATCAAAACTTACATATCAAATGTCTTGAAAAATATGAAATCAAATAGTTGAATAAAAATTGAAAATCACAATAATGCTATTAAATTATACAATAACATTAAATAAATAGTGCTTATGAAAATGGATAAAAAGTAAATAAATAATAAAATAAACGTGAGTGAACAGTAAATACTCCATTTGTTTTATGTTTTCTTGTTAATGCATGAGAGATGAGGCGCCAAATTTTACTTTTTATAAATGCCGTGTGCTCTTAGTGAAACTCCTTAAAATAATAATAATAATAATAACAACAACAATAACAATAACATGCCTTTAATTTAACCTTAAAACCATTTAATTATAAGTGAACTTGATATATTTACTTCCATAAGCATCAATAATGTTTTGATTTTGCTTTTCTACTAGATTTTTTCCCCTACTAGTTTAAACGTGTCAAGACTAAGTTTGTTTGTCCGATGCCATAGAAAACAAGCTTTTAAGTTCGAATAAAGAGATTGACAATAATGACCTCAACTTGTTATATTTTCTACCACTATTAATATTTAGAAAAAATATATATATAAAATAAAAACCATGACGAGTTCTCCAACCATAGGGCACATTAAACTTATCAGGTTTTACTGAATGTCAACTACATTAAAGGTAATCAACAAATCCGTCAATTGCGAACATCTTTGCCGTAACGAAAATTCTGTTAGTTTTTCACAATAAATTGCTTGCAGCAGGAGTTCATGCATGCTTTACTTACCTTGGTATGAGTTAGTTTATATGAAGATCGGGTAAGAAGATTAGCATTTCTTGAATCATCTCATGAAACGTTTCGAGTGATATTGTTAAGCAGGTCGGCGTGATGTGAGGCTACATAGCAATGGGCTTGATGCAATGCACAAACCTGGAAATCTTTTGTACTGGTGAATATGGCATTCTGCTCGGAGGATGATACGATAACCGAAGCCATGTGGTGTAAATAGCTACGGATGAAAAACCAGACCCTTCTGGTTAGACAGTAGATGACATTGCTACATAACAACCATTCATATAATCAGAATCCTTTGTTATTTAAATTCCTTAATTCCCATTCCCTTATTTTAGTATTGAATCTCTCCACGAGTGAACGTGGGTTTTGTCGGGGCAATGCCATTTAAAAGCCAGCCTCATTTGATGAGTAGGCAATATGCTACGACGATCATGAACATCATAAGCATAACAATATACATTAATTGGGACAGTAGATTTGAAAGGAAAAAAAAAAAGCAGCATTGAAATACGAAGATGTGTTTGTAACAAGGTCAGTCCATTAGTTAGCAGGTTCTTTCAATGTCTATAACAAACAGAATAACTTCTCAATCACACCCAGAAATATCCCACATTATCTACATGTAATGCAAGTGAAACATTCCAAAGTCCAAAACAATTCAACTGTTAAATGTAATCATCAAATAAGAAAAAGAAACAGAAACTAAATAAACATAAAATTAAACATGAAAATTTACTTCCTTTCAAGAACCAAGATTGGTTCGGGAAATGCACTTCGTGCCAAAAGTAACAAAACCATGCACTGGAAATGTTCTTCCAAACCAAGCTTGTGAACCACAAACCAGAAAAGAATATCTCTCTTCCTTTCCTGCATTTCCTTGCCTCGGCTTCTACTGACATAGCATCAGTTCACTCTAACTCCGAGGCTTGCTACTTCCAAGTGTGAGCTCTAGATCATCTACTCCTACTTCATGAATCCTCTCTCCCTCCCATGGTTTCACCTGTTCACCACCAAACTCAAAATCCATGGGCATTCCATTCTCTTTGACCCAATTGTTCGACAAAATTTGCTGAGCCACAGGTTTCACAAGATTATAGGTAGGAGAGGTTGGCATTGCTGCAGCCACAGAAGGTACAAACTTTTGAAAGCATATCCACTGACCAGACTCAACGGTGGATGTATCAGACTCATCACATTCAGGTATAGTGGCTGGAGCATGAAACTGACGATGAGTTGGGCTAGCCGGGGCAGACACGGCATTGAAAGGGTAGTTGAAGGAGGCCATGGATTGTTTGGCAATGAAATCCCAGTTGGGAATTGGCTTGGGATTTCTTGAGGTCGGGGACGAGAGAGGTGGGGTTACAGGGGCACTGTTTGAGATTCGGAGAGGAGGAAGAGACGACGGAATGGCACTTCGAAGGAATGGAAGGAGATTAGAAGAGGCATTGTTATCACCACGAGTCGGGCTAGGAAATGAAGAGGAGGAGGGACTGACTTGGTAGGAAGGAATCGGGCTAGGAAACGATGAAGACAGCGGACTGGGATTTTGGGATGAGTATGGAGTTACTCTCGTCGAAGTACCTACCATCTCAATTGGAGGTGGCCTGTGTCCCTGGAAAATAAAAATCAATCAAACATAGCATCGCTATTATCAGATAACCATTACTACTAACAATAAAGCGTCGCGAAAACATTAAAACATTGGTGAAAAAGCTACAGATTGAGCAACAAAAAGTGATTAAAATCAGAGAACAGCAATTCAAGCTTAATTAATTGGATTTAAGCGCTTAAAAACAGAGAAAGAATAGAACAGCTTCAATAATTGATTAGGGATAATTAATCACACTTAATTCCATAAATTTCAAGTTCCTTAAAAAAAAAAAGGACTCAGATTAAAGCCATTTTTAGTAACATTTTAAGCTTCAATTGACCAGATGTTGAATCTTGAATTCCTCAATTCCTTCAAATTAAAATCTAGTACCAATCAAGCATAAAAAAAACCATATACAAAAAGAGCATGTTAAGTTGAGATAGAAACTTGATCTAACTTGAAAAAAAGAGAGGAAAAACAAGATGAATGAAAAGCAATGAGTACAGATCCATAAAAAGAAAAACAAGGGCATAACCTTGCGATAAGTAGTTCCATCTTCTTCAACAACCCAACCAGCCTCAGCACAGAGCGCTTTTAACACCTCGTTATTGTCACAATATTTAGGCAGATTATAATTCCCTTGAGCCCTTAGCCCAGTAAATATTTTTGCAGCTATAGCTCTTCTCCTCCTCTCTCTCCTCCTATTGTTCTCTCTCTCCTTCCACGACGGCTTCCTCCTTGCATTTGCCGCAAGTGCAGCTGACGTCGAAGTTGCCCCATCGGACGTCATTTTCCGACAACACACCACCGCAAACTCTCCCTCACCCTCTCTTTCTATAACTCCCTCGACTAAAAGGAAAGAGCAGGGAAGTAGAGAAGAGAAGGTCACGAGGAAGACGCTTTTAATTGGGTGGAAGTATATTAGAAGAATCTCTCTTCGGGTTTTTTTGTATTATTTTATTTTTTTAATAAAGTTTTATAGCGGAACGAGAGAGAAAGAAAAAGTCTGTTACTAGAAATGGCAGGGTGTGTTTCAGTACATGAAAGGTTTTGTATTAGGTGCCCTATCAAGGATTAGTTAGACTGGATCGGTGATTATCATTGATTTAAGACAAATTGGGAATCAATCAATTTTAAATAAGGGAGTTTTTATTTTTATTTAATCGTTAAACGGCCTTGAGAACGGAGCACACCATGTTTTTGTTGTTGAATAAAGAAAAGGCGTGAGGGTGAGAGAGTGAGTTCCGCGTGTGTGTTTATGTTTATGTACCTGTCTTGTAATGACCTAATAATAACTCAAACATGGGGTCCAAGCCGTTTACCGTGGGTCCCAACATTTGACACAACCTGTCTGTTCTCACCAATGGATGAGCCCAGCTGTTAGAAACTTAGACCAGGAACGCTGAACTTATTAAATCCCTCTTAATTTGTTAGAAACTTATCGGGTGATTGGCTTTTTAGCTTTATTCATTTTACGTACCTTTTAATTAGTTCCGAGAGTCTTTGCAATTTAGCAATGCTCTCTTCATGTGGGAAGGTTATGGGCGTAGCATAATCAAAATTATGAATCAATAAAATGTAAGAATATTTTATCCATGAAAAAATAGCTCTGATAAGGGAAAAGGCAGGGTAGAAGCGGAGTTAAATCATATACATGAAAGAGAAATGTCCAGCACCTAAAGATCATTGATTAAATTAATAAAATTTTACACACCACTAAATTTATTTATGTAATTTATGACGAATATATTATTAATTATTTTCTTTTATAATTATGAATATGCTATTAAAAGTGAAAAAATCATATTTTAAATATGATTTATTGCTTAAATGATTTGAAAAAAAATATTATTTATAATATTTTTATTGGTTTGTTTTATGAATTTAGGTGATTTCTCCAAATCCTAATTTCTGGAACCAGCGCCTAAATAAAATTAGAAAGATTAGAAAGAAAAAAAGAAAAGAAAAGAAAAGAAGTTAAGCTAACACATAAAGCTTGCCAGAGGACTTGAATGCATTAAATTTTGATGAACCACCAAGAAATAACTATACTGCTACTTAAATATGCCTTAGGATGCTAACATAGGCAGTAAGAGAAGTGAACTTCTCCTACAGAACCACCTCCCATAGCCAGCTTCACATTGGATTTAAACTTATTCAGATCATCTCTCAACACATTAGCTGCATCAGAATTCATAGGATCCTCATGATTTGGTTGCTGCACATAAAGACAATCAAAATTACAAGTTATTCGCGAGGTCATGTTTCTTGCGGGCTAAATGGTGAGATAAAGGGAGAGTACTTATTTATGGATCCATTAAAAAAAAAAAAACGTAGCTGTAGAGTAAATACCATGAATAGGTGAAACAATCCATAGACGATAATATTTATATTTAGGATAGGTTTCCAGTCTTCTCGAAGAATGTTTAGGCAGACACTGCCTTCCAGGTCAATATTAGGATGGTAGACCTGCTGATAGCATAAAAGTCCCGCCATCATAATGCTTTGGCAAGTGTCTGAAGAGAGATTGAAGGTACAACGAAAGATAGCATACATACCTTTGTCTTGCATTTGACCTTCGGTGCACCATGAGGATAGAGACTATTAGAGAGGTGACACTTGAAATGAGAACACAAATTTGCCACCCCTATGACAAGGTAAAAGGAGAGTTTTTTGGCATCAAGAAAAAGGCGATTCCAAAAGATTTTGGGTAGGGAAAAAAGGAAAATGTGCAAGAGATTTTGAACAAAAGTGTTAAGGGTTTTTCAAACTACTTGCAATATACTTCGTCGGGCTTAATGGTGACCTCAAAGTTCATCAGGTCATCCTTGCCATTGGGGAAGGATATGCAACATGATTTCGTTAGGTTCAGCTCAGTTATATCTGCAAGCCAAAGGGAACATACAATTATGAATCAAGAGGAAATAGAAAAAATTTCGACAAACGCCCTATGCTTTGTCCTTGGAACCACAGCCAAAGATGGAACCCTCCTCCACTAGTTCAAGCCTAAATCTAGTAGAATGTGTCATGCACTTTGTTTGGATTAATCAGCTCCTTCAAACTCTTCTTAAAGTGTGTGAATTATGCCTAATATTGCAGTCCTTCATGATAATTCATCGACATTAATTCTGAAAATTCAAGATGCTGTTATAAATAAGTATACCAAAGCAAGAATTACCTTTTTGAAGACGTAATTCCCCTGCACTTTGCTTCGTTAGCCGAGGCTTCCCGTCTGCACTCTGAGCTTCCCTCTGGTTTTCCTTTACCTTAAATAATCTAATCATTTTCCCTGCCAAAAACTAAAAACAACAAATTTAGTATTAGTAATTGATTGGCATCTTGATTCGTCGACTCTGTATCCTCCCTGCATCAACTGAATAAGAATTCTAGTATTTCCTCTTTAGTATTCAAAGTAGCTTCTATTTGATCAATCAGCAATTACAAAAAATTTAACGTGGTGGATTAAAAAACACAGAATGGAAGATTAACATGTTAATATAAATTCTTAGCTGAAATTTACCTGTCCCAATAAAAAAACACAACCAAAACACTCATTGCCCTAGGTACCAATACATTCTTCGTGCTAATTAATTAACAATGGCCCAAAAAGGAAAAGATCATCTGCCTATGGATCTAAGAATAGAATTCATTGAGCCAGGACTTTGGAGGGTTCTGCTTCTGCAGTTTGTAAACTTGTGCTTAGTGTAGTTTTTTGGTTTTTTATATGTCCTGTAGTGGGATTGGCTCCCTACTGTGTATGCTTTTTTTATTAATGAAAATTTCCCATTCATCAAAAAAAAAAAAAATGTTTAGTGCCTTGAAGATAGCCTAAGTTGATCTTCAAACTCAAAACAGCCTGGCTTAATTAAAAGTTTTGGCCTAAATAAAGATCAGCAAAACCATAATTTTGGTCAAAAAATCTATTCTGCTTTATCACATCGCCCGTATACGTTTAAACAAATTTCAAGACCAAGAATTACTAGGGCTAACAATATCAAGAAAACAACCCAATTAATTTCGTTAAAAAGAATATTTAACGATTAAAGAATTTTATTGATTTGAAAGCATCGCATTAAAAAAAAAAGGGTGGGGTGGGGAAGCAAACCTGCTCGAGCAAATTAAATTCAAGGAGAATTTTAGACTTGATTATTTTGAGGAGCGGTCTCTCTCTCTGGTTTCCTCCTATTCGGCAGAGGAATTGCTTCCCACTCCCATTTATAGTGCACGCCTCATAATTTCTTCTCCTGTTTGTGTTGCGTGCGAGAGTCTGCTTAGATCCTGTGCGGTCAGACGTGGTATACCGCCAGGTACTAGGGGTGTTGTTGAAATTTTCCAAGGTAAAAAAAAAAAAAGGAAAAATAATTTTTTTGAGGTAAGTTTAATGAGTTGATATTTCAAAATTGGGGTATTAAGAAAAATACTTGTTAAAAGAAAGTATAATTCTAACTTGTATTTGTCAACAACGGAGTTGTGTAATGGTAAGCAAATTCATTATATCATCTATAAAATTGAAAGTTAGAATCTCATTCATCATAAAATGTAGTTAGTGATACATATATACACACTCACACATATAACCTGTATTTACCTTTTGTTTTTCATTTGACAGTCCAATTATATGTTCCAAATTATTGATGACATGCCGGAAGTAAGTTTATTTTTTAAATTCAATTAGAGATGAGATAATGATCACTTATATTGAGACGAGTCTCGTGAAAAAATATTGTCTACGAAATCTTTTTGATTTCAAAATATTGTTAACTATATCTGATTTTGTATCAATAGTTAACGAAGACAAGAAAATTTGAAAGTTATCTACTTACATATAGAGTGATAACACTTATTCGTACTCGTTTAGTTTCTACTCGTTATCACAAAATCGTTATTTTCGACTATGAGCATAGTCAAGACTAAATTATGTAACAAAATGAAAGATAATTTTTTTTCGATTCTTCGTTAGTATATATTGAAAAGGAAATTATTAAAAAATTTTAGTATAGGTTTCCTTATAAATGATTTTCGTGATTTAAAAAAACAAAAATTTCTATTTTGAGATTATTTTTAAAATATATATTGATATGTTATTTATAATATAAATAAGTTTGTATAAACCATTATAAATTTATAAATATTTAATTTAATTTTTTTAGATAGTTGGTCTGTTGTTGTTCCACAGTAATACTGTCAATAATGCTTGTGGTAAAAACAGTCAGTCCAGTTTCCACATTTCTGATTTTGCCAGAACTGCTTTCATTTATTTCCTCCTGCACCTTAAAATGGTGGTTTTTCACTTTTTTACGACACGGTGAAATAGCCTTTGGAGTTTGGACAACAAGACAATGATCCAAAAAGCAAAGTAATCAATAAAAGGGTAATAATCGCCGTTGCCGGGGATCGAACCCGGGTCACCCGCGTGACAGGCGGGAATACTCACCACTATACTACAACGACATTGTTGCTTACGGTGAGAAATTTTATAATTATTAACAAACTATCATAAGGTCCTCATCATTGACCACGGAGAATGGCACGTTGTCACTCTCAATATTAAAACGCAGAACCTTTAAAAAGCTGGTCCTCGTCGTTTTCATCAAGGTCCGACCATGGGGAGCTGCTGCTACAAATTCATCTATGCCCCTTTCTTTCTCCTCTCATTGTTCATAATAGGTTAACCACCAAAGCTAGAGAGGTCCTTTTATGGGTAAACAAATTGATGCAACCTTTCTTTGTGGAAGTTAGGATGAAGAGAGAATTGTGGACTGAATAGAAGGACAGGTTGTTGGAATACTGAATTCCAGTGGGCCAGATTCGCTAGAATGAACTTGCTAGAGACTGAAAAGGATTTTCTCTTACCGTCTTAACGAGCATTGCATGGAAATTCTACAATTTATAGTATACATGGAAGAATTTATGGTGGTAAACGCAACAGCCGCTTCCGCAGAAAGACTTATTTCAAACCCAGTTTTATGCAACTTGTCAGAATTATAAACTTTTCCAGTTGCAGTCCGTTTCTTTTCTTTTCTTTTTTCTTTGCAAAGTTTTGCAGAAGGGGGAGCTCCTTCTTGAGCTGCTTTTGATTATGACAGTCCTTCATGCAATGAATTAATTAATAAATAAAACCTCTTGTAATCTTTTTCTTTGTATTTTTTCCCCTATCATCCTATCACCCACTAAATGACAAAATCATTATTCAATTACAGAAGAAAATCCTATTTCGTTAAATTTTGATAGAATACGTAACAAACTAATCACATAAGAGACAATCGAAAGCACACATAGATGTGATTATTACTGCATGATTGATCACTAGGTCGGTGAGATAGTGACGGGTGATTTTGTTATTGCAAATCGCAAGCATCCCTCAGGTCTGTAGCCAGCGATCAGAAATCCTTCGCAAGCATGCATGATGTTAGACTCTCTGTACAATGCAACCTTTTTTCTGGCCCTTATAAAGTAAATCCTTTCTCGGAAATTCCGAGATGCCTCTAGGTCTCAAGTGAAGAATTGGGATAAGTGATATAATTATACAAATACAAAGAAGGGCCAAGGTTGTTACAATACTCCAAATTGCCGACTGAAACTTTCATGCATCTTTGAATGTTAGGAAAGCATCTTCTCTCCACTATCCTAATATCGACTTCCTGATCTGAATATTTGATGCGCATGTTAAAAATCATTTAATTAGCTTGGACGGGGAAAAATCACCAAAACAATCTCCATTAAGTAGACTCTCATTCCAGAACTGTTTGGCTTTGGAACATGGTGACCAAACCAGTCCACCATCAGCTTGCTACCTACACAGCAGCTACATGCAAATGTAATCTGCGAAGTGAATAAAGAATCCAGTCAAGGCTTCACAAAAAGCAAAATTAATTTAATGCATGATGGGGGAAAAAATCAAGTAGGGAAACCTGTTCAAGTGAGAATAACACTTGGAAGGCTAGTCCAAAGCTCTGACTAAAGAACTCACACACGATTTACTGGCTTACTGAGTGAATTTAATGCACATAGTCATTTGTCGTTGCAATCCACCCATTCCTTACAAAAAAAATAAATAAATAACTTACGTGGAGCACGTATTTGGAAAAGAGGGATGCCGATAGCTCCAGGCTCCTTTGCAACTTCACTACAAAGTGCCTTCATCTGGATGTATCGTCCATCTCATTCCTTACAAAACACGTTGACTCTTGAAAATGTAAAGGTTCATTCCCCCAAGAAGTCCATCCAGCTGTCATCTCTCTAGCAAATAGCTCAATACATCGAGCAGGTTTAAAGTCTGGAACATGCTCCAGCAGCAACTCTATTGATATCAAGAGAAGAACAAACATTAAGAATTTATAAGTAATACAGCTACAGTCTCAAGTTGAATAACTTTTACAGCAAGTGGTAAGAGGAGATTTGATTGACAGCTCCAATTTTCTGATAGTGTGTGTGCATGTGAAATTATTAATAACATGTCAGAACAAACTTGCCTCCAATTGGAGGCTTCCTCGAGTACTCCCCTGGGATGCTTATGATGATTTGATCATGTTTTAAAGGTCTCAGGCTTGACGGCCGTTTAGAATTTGTGCCCTGGAAAATAAATCAACAGGATGAGCTATCAGCAAGTAAATTAGAGTTTAAAGAAAAACTGGACAAAGAGCAGTCGGCTGTTATTACTAAATCCAAATCCATTGAAACTTCATACTCACACCTCTCCGTGACAGTAGCCCAGTAGAAGGCATTCATAAGGCCTGTGATGAAAGAGATCTAAATCGCTAATCAGGGAGCCATCTGCTTTCACCTGTAACATTTGAGTAAAACACAACCAATGGAATGTTAACCTTCAAATAAATAGATAGATCAACACACACACACATATAGAGAGAGGAAGCACCTTCAGCCAGTAATAAGTAGCTTCATGACTGACTCCCCATGATGGAAATAGCTCTTTCTGAACAAAATTATGCAATTTCTCTCTGTTGGTCATCCACAAGGCTACAAGTGCTCCACCTGGATGAGCAAGTTGCTTAATAGGAAGGGATAAGAAATACCGGTTTGGCAAAGTTGGGTACCTATAGGAAAAAAGAACAAGGTTGACATAATTACTGATATTCAAATTGGGGCAAAAGTTACTTGTTGAAGATAGCAATTGCAGCTCAAAATTTCTCCTGCTTACAGAGTCAAAGAAGTGAACCTTTTTTCCCATCAATTATTCACAACTCAGTTCATTTCCACATAAACGAGTAATTTACCAAATAAATACATTGTTTGACAAATACTTCTATACACAAAAATGCACTTACGGAAAAGAGAAACAATTATCACCAAAAGCTAAATTTTACCAGATGGAAAGTATTGAAATTATAGATAGAAATACCTACCTGACTTTTTGACGAGCACTTCCATTTTCCCATGGTGGGTCAATCACTATAAGATTGAAGCCGACATCGCATTCTGCAGCATCAAGAACCAAAATGAGTGAAGAATAGAACAAGAAAATTTATGCATAAACTAGAACTCGTTTCTTAAACTGCATAGGATGCTGGAAATGAGCTGCCATTAATCAAATCATGTTGGTAGGACTGGCAATTGCCTGATCATACAAATGGGTCACAAGACTAACAGACAAAGGATGTTCCTTCCTAGAATGGATCAACACCCTATATCTTGATGCGCAACCTCCAAAGCTCTCTATATTTTCTTCTGATGAGTCAAATGATCAGGAAAAAATTAAAGAAATATGCAGAACTATGATCACTAGAAAGTACATTGAAGTTGCAGATGCAGTGATTACCTTGAACAAGGCTGTGAATCTGCCCCAGATTAGACTTCCACGTGATATAAGAAAAAAACAAGCGAAAATAAGTAAGACAAACTCCATAAGAAAGCCAATCAACCCACCCATCCCCCACACCACCACCACTCCCCCCCCCCCAAAAAAAAAAAAAAAAAAAAAAATAGCAACCTTAACAGACTCATAACTCAAAAGACAAAAAATTTAACAGAGCCATAAAGCTAAAGCTGGCACTTTTAAAACGGGTACACAAAATCAACAGAACATACCATGTAGAAGCAACTCTCTCTAGGCAATATATATTTCTTGTTTAGAAAAGCTGCCTCTATATCATCGCTTGTCTCATTAACAACCAAATTGTTGAAAACAGGAAACACTCTTTCGAAGCCCTTCCAAACTTTAAGAATGATTTCATAGAGAGGAGTTTGCCAAACCTTTCCAAGCTCAATAAAAGAGTTTTGTTCACTACATTCTGTTGAAGAACAAGTATTACTGCCACTCCTTAAATCCTTCATAATCGCTAAGAGATCGGTAGCTTCCATTAACAATTCATGGGCCTTCAACAACATAGGCCTCGCTTTCTGCCACAAAATCAGAATAAGAAGTAAATGCACACAATCATGAACACCAAAAAAGTAAAATAATAATAATAATAAATGGGCAACGAAATTACAGTTACCTGGTGGCGCAGATTAGCAGCTTTTTCTCTTTCGTTTAAATCGTGAGGTATCTTCTTATCTTTTCGCTTTCGTTTCTTTGAATTTGAACTAACAATAGTTTCTCTCGAATCGAAGAAACGAGAATAATAGGCAGATGGTGAAGCCCTGAAGCGGGTATAGGACCTGTTTAACATTCGCACCGGGTCTATGAAAACAACATTTGAATCCTCGAATCGGTAAATTCCAGATCCTAAAAACGCAGATAGCTTTTCGCTTGTTTTCGAGTTCTCCTTCTCCATGGTCGATGCTTCAAGTGTCTTCGTTTTCTACTGCTGAAGAGGGCAAAAACTGCAGCTTTGGGTGTCAGGTCTGCGCCCCTTAAAATGTAAGATTAATTGAGGCCCAGCAAGATTTGCGTGGGCTTTCGTTTGATCTCGGATCCATGTTATTAGGCATACTATGTTGTGTTATGTTGTTGTCACAAAACCTTTATGGGTAAAAACTAATTTAATTTGAGGCCCGATTGTTTAGCGAAAAATAACTTTCATAAAAAAATTAATTCTTGATAAAGTTATTTTTCATGAAATTATTTTTTAAAAAAATATTTTATGTCGTTTGATAATTACAAAAAAAAATTATTGAAAAATATATTTCAACGTTTGTTTGATACGGAAAATTAAACAACAAAAATAGTATGTGATTATTATATCAATAAATTTTGAAAAAACTTCAAAAATACATATTTATAATTTCACAATATAAGATATATTTAAAAAATTTTAATAAATTTTCATAACTACTGACTCTAAAATTTTAATTCAAAAAAATAAAATTTACTTTTTTAACCATCAAACAAATTCGTCAAAACTACTTGAAACAAAATCAAGTCAATATTCACATATAGTAAAAAATAATAATAATAATAATAATAATCCTAGTATTGTTATTTTGGTAACTCAATTAAGAATTCATTTTTTTTTTGTTAGAAATTGAACTCGATAATTTAGTCTAAAAAATAATTTTATAAATTATTAGTTATCATTTGTAGATAATTATTCATTTGGTTTCAAAAGATTAATGTTGGAATAATTTATAACTAATTATTCACTAAAATTACCAATAAAATTTTACAACTTATTAAAATTATAAATTTATTGATTTAGTTGCAAATGAATAGTGTTGAGAAATAATGTATTTATTAATTAATTAATTAATTTCAATTTTTTTTTACAAAAAATTACAGTATTGTAATAATCATTTTCGATCATTTAAGTATGGTGTAAGTGGTGTTTGAGATAATAGTAAAAAAATAAAGATAAATTATTGAAATATTTATTATAAAAATAAATTTAAAGTGTAAAAATTATTTTTAAGAATATTTAATGTATCTATGGATAAAAATAAATAAATATTAGTAGAAATAGAGAAAAATAATTAAATAATAAAGAATAATTAAAAATTAATTTGATATATTTTAAATAAAAAGAAGATAGAGAAAAAAATTGTTAAAATATATTGAGAGAGAAAGAGGTAAGTAACGTGAGAGAGAGACTTGCTCGTAAGAAAGAAAATGTTTTCCTCTTTTTAAATTGGGAAAACATTTTCTAAAAAATGCTTTATCATTTTTCGTTGATTTTGTTCCTAAGCGCAAAATAAACACCAAAAATAAAAAAAATAAGTTTCAAAATTTTGTTTTTCCTTAAACAAACACAGCCTCGGATTAATGTTATATGAGGCTCCTCATATTGTGATTTTGTCTTTAAAAAGATTCGTTTATTTATTATCATTATTTTAATCTCATCCTGAAAGAAAATAAAAATGAAATTTGAGTAATGAGTATTAAATTTCATTGTTAGTTTGATAGAATTATAACGCATGTCAGTTAATTTTTTTTTTACTGAAAGAAAATATAAATGAAATTTGAAAAATGAAAAAAAAAATTGCTGACAAAAAAAAGGCTATATAAATACTGGGCATGGATGATAAATCAATCGATTTAGGGCTAAATGAGAGAGAATTGAGGGTTTTTTTTTCACTATCGAAGAAAGAATATTTTCAAAGGGTTGGAGTAATTTATTGATACTCAGTCTTAATGACACTAATCTTTCTTGCGTTTGTTTGTATTAATATGTTAGCCTGTTACTCTTAACTGGAGAGAAAGAAAAGACTCGTCGTAGATTATAAAACTAGCCAAATTTGTTTGTTCTATATCCAGGCTTCCTCTATCTACCGATCTATATTATTACAGCCGAAGACTAATGGATTTGAACAAAAATACATAGATGATTTTTTTAAAATAAAACGGGAATAAATTAAAAATTACTTTTTCTACTTTTGAAAAATGAATAAATTAATTTTTTTTTGTTTCAAAGCCTATTTTTTATATTTTTAAACTTTTTTGTAACTTAATCATTTTCATTTTTTTTAATTTTGTTTTTTATTAAAAAATATGAAAAAATTGTTAAAAATGTGACTTTTTTAAAATAAAATAATATTAAATTTGAAGTAATCAATACTAATTAATATATTAAATAATTATTTTTAAAAAAATAGAAAGACTAATTTATAATTTACTCACCAAAACGGCTTTCTCTAATTGGTTTCGAGTATTCGAGCTAAAAATGAGAGGGAAAAAAAAAAAAACTTGTATTTTGCAAGTTCCAATTTTACGAGAAATGATAAATTAAGCCATCGAGGCCGGAGCCTGTTTTTTAGATGACTGCTGGTTTATGTCCATCTTATTAAAAAATTTAAGCTATGAGATAAGATTTTAGAATATGATTTATATTATTTTAGTAACAACACGTCTCCTCAAATGAATCATTTGACCATCAAGACTACGATACTTATGATACATGTTAAAAGATTATGCTCTCAAATGTATCATTTGATCATTAAGGATTTGATACTATGATACATGTTAAATGATTATTTTATCTAAAAATTTAAAGTATAAGATAAAATTTTAAAATATGATTTATATTATTTTTTAACTATTTATACAACAGCCGTCGTCCTATGCGGCAATGCTAGATTGTTTGACTGACATTCTGCATTTCCCGCAAAGCTTTGTGGCTAAATTTCCTTTCGCATTCATCTCATCCCGAGGGGACCAGTTGGTGGATATAGGACAACTAGCTCCCCAGCTCTTTATTTTCCTTTTGACCTGATGCATATAAAATTAGCTAAGAATAAGTCCTGTAGCTGGTCTCAAATAAAAATTTACAATCAAGTTCTCTTGATCCTTTCAAATATCTAAGAAAACATATTCAAAATATAAAATAAAATGTTTGAAAACGAAGCTGGTTGGTGGAAAGTTTAGAGTTTAACATTTCAACGTGTGCATTTTGTCCAAAAAAAAAAAAAAAAAGGTGAATATTGCCGGAGATTAATATAAGTTATATTATGGGATCTCACTTATCAACATAAGTTTTTGGATGAGATGATCATTTAATATGATATTAGAGTTTGATTGATTATATGGTCATAAGTTCGAGTCTCATCATCCATAATTTCTCAAATATTAACCACAAGATAATATAGATCCGTGTAAATTTTAAACCTAAATATTAAAGTTTTTAATCGAGATGATGTGTTAGAAATTAATATAAATTATATTATGAAAGTAAACAATATAAACTTCAGTAGCTCAAGTGAAACCACAAGGGTTAAAGTATAGTTTATCCAAGAAAGAAACTTCCAAGAACGGACTGAGGTGGAGATTGCATGAGCTAAGCCAATGACGAAATAACACATGGTTGTTTTTAAGTCGTCAAATGACTTCAAAAATCCTAAAACTAACACAAGTTAGCGTAATCTTGTGTATTTGATAGTTATTTATTTAATAAAACAATTCATTATTTTAATTTATTTAATTATTTTATAATGAATAGAATTACCTCTCCCTCAATCGTGTAATACAATATTTACAAACTTTTTGATGAAGGGAGAAAAAATAAAATGTAATATTAAGACAACGATGAATGATGAAACAAATCTGCTAACTGTGTGCGCGGCAACAAATTAACTATGGTTAACTAACAGTGCAACCATTGCTTTTGTCCTATAAATACCCCACCCCTACTTGACTTGCTGTTTGAGTGGTTATGAGGGAAGCGACCAGCTGCTTGATTAAGGTTAGAACTCTGATCATTCGAACATATTGGTTTCTACGTTGTATCTTCATTGAATATTCTAATTTACCGTTTGTTTGGTTAATGGGAAGTGGGAGACGGAGAAAAGAAATGAAAGTAATTTTTGTTATGATGTTTCTTAATTTAAAAGCAAAAGGCTCAAATGATATGTTATGCTTTGGTTGATTTTTTTTCCCCACCATTTTCTTGGAAACTGAAAACAGAAAAGTGGGTTTTGATTGTTGTTTTATTTGAACTTGATCATGAACTCGTGGGGTTTTGATTTTGTGATACAGATTCACCGCTGGATGCTCTTGTAAACATACCAGGTAATTTTTGAAGGCTTACTACTGCTGCTGCTGCTGCTACTGTTATTATTATTTTTGGTTCTGTTATGTTTATCCTTTTCTGTAGCAAATCTGGCCATTGCTATGGCAAACCATTTGTTTGATTGATTAGAAAATGAAGTAAAAGGCACATAGCTTCTGTTGCTATGTGTCTTGAAGATCAAAAGTTTCACTAGTGCTTTGTGGGGGCTTCTGGTTATCTTGGGCTCAAATAGAAAAAATTGACAATCTTGCTTATGTCAAGGACTATATTCTTGTTGAATTTGCTTAATGACTGCTATTTTTGATTCTATGAAACCGATTGAATTGTTCCCATTTGCAAAATTATATCATGTAAAGCTTAGAAGCTTTTTTTCCCCGCAGTTCTGTTTACTTTGTTTGGTTTTGGTGATCCTGCTTCAGATTTGGTGTTATGGTGATTGGATTTTTGTTTCAAGGATTTATTCGGTCATTCAATGTTTTGTGATCAGATTAGGGTTAGGAAAGCATGGTTATTTTTTTAAATAAGTGAAAATAAGTCATTGATAAGGGATTTTTGTTGGTTGGTTCCTGGACTTATGGATGCACCTGTATTAAAGAGTGATCAGATTCAGAAAGTTTGGCTGAAAACATGACTTAGTGTAGGAAAAAAGGTCTGTTAGTCAATCTCACCTAGCTTGGAACTCATATGTATAGTTGAATTGATCTCTGGTGTGTGATTCTTGAATTTCAGTATTTTTTATTCCTTATTTGTCCTCGGATCATGAGTTTTGAAACACAAGAATTATGTCATATATTGTAGGTCTAGTTAAATGATGTATCCCTCTGCTAACATTCTTTGCTTCTATCCGACCATGAAGATTTGAGAGTTCTTCTCATATTTCTACTGTTTATACATGTTCATCCTACCTGAATCTTATGTATTCTTCTTCTTTTGAACCAAGAGTGTTAACTAGTTTTTTTATTTATTTGGAATTTGAGTTTTTTCTTTTCCTGCCGGGGGTGGGGGGAGATATTGTTGTTATTTGATCTTGTGGCTTTGCTCTTTTTAGCCAGCGTCATTCTTTTCTAATTGAATGATGATAAACTAAAAGGGACAATTTTAGAAGTTGCTAGATATGTAATTCCATTAATGTAAATTGAACTTATGTACTGCATTAGCATTTGGTTTCCTAGTTGTGTAATTCATCCTTTTCATTTGTTTGCTATGAATGATCCACAACTTGATAGTAGATAACTCACTGCTTTTTTTTTTTTTTTTTTTTTTGTGTGTTTTCTTTTTTATTTGGCTACTATAAAAGGTGCAGAGAGATATTTTGACCCCCGTGCTGTTTGCTTCCCCTTTGGATTGAGTCAATATGTGTCCTCCAGCTTCTTCTCCGCTTGCTCGTATTGGTTTTGATTGTAGTGATGAGGAGCTCTTTATGTTTTTGGATAAAATGACTAGTGGATCCCCTCTCCCTGGAAATGTGATTACTGATGTCAATCCTTATGACTATGCACCATCAAATTTACCTGGTAAGAGTCATTTTTCTTCAAAGAGGTGGTAGGATTTAATTTTTGAATTATCCAACATTACTGTGCATTTTGCAGACGTCATGGACTGGACAATCCATCATCTTTGCCCTCCCCCTTTACAAATCTTTATCCAATGTTGTGGCCTAATCAGACTTATGTGATTCACTGAATAAAATGTCTACTACATTTTTTAATCAATGGCTCCATTCTATGACTGATGGATCCACATATTGGATTTAATGATACGAAGAACTTTCATTATAGTTATCTGCTACACAAGCCACTTGTGACACAGATTTGTGGTTTATGATCCTTTTTGATCAAGCATGTCAAATTTCTTTCATGTAGTTGATGATATGCATCATTGGGCATTGTCTATCAGATCTTGTGTATTAACCATAGCATGCTAAGTTTGCATGCCAAAGTCAACATGCTTGGGTCTGATTAGTACTGCAATAGCATAGCTGATGAAGATGCTTATGCAGATGACATTTGGTATTTGCTTCACTCCAAGGAGAATGATAATACTGGACTTGGATTCTGGAAGGTCAAATATGAGGCCTGTAAGCTGTTCTCAAACTCAGCCATCACTGGCTGGAGAACCACCCTTGAATTTTTTGAAGGCCGAGTACCTTATGAGCGTAAAACTGACTGGTTGATGCAAGAATACCGGATAACTCAGAAAGCACAGAGTGAAAAAAGCAAGGCCAAGGTACTCAATAGAGTATGCAACCTTTCTGCCTATTAAATAACAGTTGTATTTTATATTATTTATCCTCCCAACCTGCCAGTCAACTGCCAGTTTGGTTGGACATTTTGCAGGAAGCCAGTTCATTATGCAGAGTATTTCTTGGTGGTGATAGAGCTCTAGACCATGAAAAGCAGGTGATTGCTGGCCCCCATATTGACAGGGATGCCCTCTTTCACCTGCCACAGTCAATTGATCCAAGGACTCCTGCTGATACAAGCAACGGTTCCGCAAGCAAACCTGAGGTGTGACCTTGATTGTGGCCTTTGTTTATGCCTGTCTGGTTGGTGATTTCTATTTTCATATTTCCTTTCAGACCAGTTGGTTGGAGTATACTTGTAGCAGAGTCTTCCTTTTGTTTATGTTGGATCTTAGAGCAACATGTCTGCGTGTCCGTGTGTGCATGTGTTTCCTCCACGTACTGGTCTCCTCTTGTGCTGAATTCTAGTGTTTCTTTCTGTAGGTGAGCGAGGATGATGAAACTGGAAAGTTGGCTGCAATGGCAAGACCTCCAAATCTCCTGGTCACAAATCTGCCCATCACAAATCCGCCCGAAATTGATTATCTTTCCAGAGGTGACTACTTAGAACTGCTGGATCTTGATAATCCAGCATCGCCTTCTTCAAGTTCAGATAATTCGAGTTGCTTGACCATGTCATCAGATGAATACTTCGACTCAATTGCTTTGTTGCGAGACCTAGAATCTGAAAGTAATCAGGTTTTGGTGCAAAAGGATAAGGATTGCAAGCATAGCGTCACTGCATCTCTTAGAATAGATCAGGTGGTTATGCTTCCAGCTTCTCAGGGTATGTCAAATATCAATTTCCCTATTCCTATGTACTCCTGCTGATTGTTTCTCTCCACTGTTCTGTGCTTCCCTGGAAAACGCACATAAGCCTGAAATTGACAAAAAGCCAGCAATCTAGTTCATGCATCTACCTTTATAAGTTTTGAGTGTGAGAAGGCTTAGTTTGTTATTATGGTTTATCAACAGGATCTTATGTCAGCATTGAAGGAGGCAAGCCACCTGTTGAAGCAACTGATTCGTCCATAGTTGGCAATGGTCACAAAGATTTAGATATTCAACGTGCGGTCAGAGATCAGAAAGCAAATTTCAGGGATGAGGGTCCATCATCAAATTCTCATGCTGTAGGTACATCATCAGGTGGCCATGTTGCATCTCCAGATGAAGAGGAAAAGGCTGCCAGACGCAGAAGGAAAAGGCTCAGGAAGAAGTATCTGTGCTTCATGCCATTTTACTTCCTCTTCTGATATCAGTTGCACATTGAGCATCTGTATATCGCAAGTGGATTGATTATTCTTGTTTGCATAGTGTATCCTAAAATAACTAGGTCATAGACAGAAGCTAAAATAGGGAGGTTTGCTATTTTTCTGTTCAGATGACCGATGGACTTTAGATTTTAAGGATAGTAGGCATACATAGGTGGTATTTGAGTTGGCCGACAGTAGCAAGCTGACACTGATGGAAAAAGATAGGAAACTGATTATTCTGTTACTTGCAAGGATACAAGAATCATGTGCATTTTCCTCTTGTAAGCTTCTATTTAGAATTATTCCTGTGACTTTTGTAATATAACAAAAACTGCTATTTACGAATATATGATTTGCTGCTTTCCCGTTGCACTGGAACACATGCAGATGGGATACGACATTAATAACTGTCATTTTCCCCTTGTATTGGGCCTCTAAACTAGTAACTTCTTGCGGTAAATTTAACAGAATCGAATCAGTACTTGCTGCACCAAAGAGCTTGTAGTGGTAGTGATCTCTTGTAACAAGAGGTCATAGATTCTAACATACCAATTCTATTAGAAGCTTGGGGCGTGTGAGTAAAAAAAGAAAAAATCGGCACTTGCTGTTAGTCCTGGTGCTGGGCCTCTTTAACCAATCCGAATGCTTTGGTAGGCCTACGTCATGTGTATTTCTTTGGAATCCACGAATGATGGGCCTTCCACTGCTCCTATACTCATCGATCATAGCCCGTTCCTCACTGGAACATGATGACTCAATGTGAGACAGACAGGTTTTGTTAGCTATATTTATTAGTCTGATCGGAGGAGTCCTCCGATGGAACTCCTTGGTTTCAAAATCTGGTTCAGTATAATTTATTTCATGGCTGTTAACATATATTTTTTTCAACTCGTCCAGTTTTCACAAATCCGGTTTTGATCAAATTCAACAAGTGACCGTCACTGTGATTAAATCACCCTTGACAGCGATATAACAATGGATTACAAGATGCGTTTGGTTGGACCAAACAATTGTAATTTCGAGAACTCTGTTGCGAGAGGTGATGGCGGAAGGATACGAGGTAATGGGACCAGCCGGTGCCTTTATCCTAATACAGATTGCTGCCTATAGCAGATCTTTCATGAATAAAGCTAACTAACATCACCAAACAGAAAATATGGAAACTCAAGCGTGCCAGTATGTGTAGCCTTTCGATAAAAAAATAAAAAGGACCCAGAAGTGAGTGTTGACCTAATTTATCCTCGGTCACATGTCCATGCCTAACTAACTCTTCGAATTGGCCTGGGTTGACGTAAAGTTCCCCGGTCGTGGAGCATCTAACATGTTCTTGAAGTGAAGGGCTCATGGTTTCCCCTCACCCCTTCTCTTTTTACATGGTTATGACTTATGCGTGTTGATTTAGTTTATTGATGAGACATAATGGAGTGATAACAGAAACTAAAAAAGTAACAGCAGTAAATAATTATACGTATCTTGAGGGTCAAATACGACAGTAATTGCAATGGCAATTATAAATAACCAAGCATGCTATGGGTCCAGCCAGATGATGCTCCTTCTAGTTTGGTCCCTACTCAGGTCTTCAGTAGCAAAAGCCACTCTTGTACAGGTAATGTGGATCTTTTTGGAGTAGTGGATCGGAGGCACAAATAATATTTGGTGTACACTCTCTTTCGAAGAATATTATGAAATGGGAGACTAAGCTATCTCAAACTCTTCACCGAGGGAATTGCCTTTACGGTAACTGCGTGTATTTTTGGAGGATGGATTTCACCTCGCTTACGAACTTGTTATTGGCATTTTCACTAGAGACATTGATGCAATTAGAGATGGCAATTTGCCCCGTCCGATCCCTTCTTGATTTTCCTTGGTCAACACAAAGATTTTCCACATTGATCAGAGAATAAGACGAGGATGAGATTTGCTTACCTCGTCCTGTTTTTTCTTTTTTTATCTTTTTTTCATTAAAATAAAAATTATATCTTATATAAAATCTATAATTAATAACTTTTAGGGTTTATTTTCTATAAAAATATCATTTTTTTGCTATAGTTTGAAATTTGATAATAGAATTGGATAAAAAGAGATGAAAAAAAATTATCCCTTTTACGATTAATTTGCCTTGCAGTGATCTCCATCCTCGTTTGGAATAGGGATGGGATGAAAAATTCTATTCCGTTCGAGACATGGGGCAGAAATGAAAAATTTTTTTAGCCATTCCCACCCCACCTCTCCCCGATGCCATCCCTAGATGCAATTCAATTGGTTTCATCAGTAGATGACATTCTTTAAGAATTACGAGGAAACAACAAAAAGCACGACCAGTGAAACATGTCGACTCTAATTCAATTCCATCCATGTGCATCTAAACCTCCCAGCAAACTTATAACCTCAATCAGAGTCACAGGCGAGCTAGCTAGACACTAGTTACTAGTGCCATCAAATTACTTTCATCATATTCAATGTGACCCAACAACGGGCTTGAGATCCAAGGATGTTGCTAATTGCTCTGATGGCATCAATAGATACTGAAATTAAATTGAAATTCCTAATAATTAAACAGGACACTACTATTTATGGTCTGTGGATCACGGGGAGAGCCGAAAAAAAAAAAGGGTTTAACACAATTACGGAATTACCACTATGGAGAGAGAAGGCGAGGGAAAAAAGGTTAGTTAGATGGTGGAGCCCAATGTCTTGTCTCCTTTAGCTATCACACCTTATCAGGGGGTTCCTACCTGCTTCCCAATGCCACAACCATCACTCCATTCTTAGTACCTGCAAATATCTTCTAATCCTCACTACATTATTTACCATCCCTTTAACTACTTCCTGAGAGCTAGCAGACAGTAAATTTGAACTCCCAACTCCTCAACTTTGTTTCACTGAAAACATCTAATTATTTTGTTTTAACGGTTAGAAGAGTATCCTCCGTCGTATTCAAAAATTTTCCATTTCCATATAGGTATTCTTTTCATATTTAAACTAGTACTTGCATTTATAAATTTCGTTAACTCGGTTTCAAAAATTTCAACTCAAATCTAAAGAATAACATGAAAGATAAATACAATGGCCATGACAACCTTGTTTCGCATCCACTCTATACCTAGAAAGTGGACACTTACGAGAGTGGATGGCATCATTCTCTACGGCCACATAGAGAAGATGATAATGATCCTTAGCAAGCAAACCTACAAACTTGAACTTAAGCACCACATTGCAGCGATAGTCAACAAAATTCAGCAAATATACCTATAAAGTTATAAATGATGGTGTCTGATTGCATTCATAGTTTGGAATGTAGGAGTTCTATCAAAACATACTAAGGTCATCCTATGCCCTGTGGCGCACTAAACCATAATGGTCCACCCCCTAGATTAAAGAATATTTTGTATGTTGGACCCAAGATTAGCAATGGACGGATCTGATGAAAAGGTAGTTCGTGTGATGCTGCAGCGAGGTCTAGTTATGGTGATTGTTACACGTGGAGCGTCAAAATTGAAGCAGCTTAGACTTTCAATCCAACGGCTGCGATGATGCCGAATGATTCGACGGCTAAAACATTGATATCGGATAATCAACGGTTGACGCTGCACTGTTGTGGCGGGAAAACATGGTGGGAAAATAAAGGCAAAATATTTTTTAGAGTTTTTAATTTTCAATATGGAGGCAAAATAAATAAATTTGGTATCCCATGTTGGATAGGACAACACCGACGGCAGGTAGCGCCGTCCCCACACGTGGGACCCGGCGATGAATTTCGGGGTTCCGTTACGTTTCCATTCTGCCGTTTCTCTTTTCCTTTTCCAATCCCATTTGCTTTTGTTGTTTACTTAAAAAAAAATAAAAAAACTTTTGTTGTCTTTCTATTAAAATTACCAAACAACCATTTTCCTTCTGAAACTTTTCCATTTCAATTCTGTAATCTTAAAAAAAAAAAAAAGCTTTCAAATGTTTTATTTCATCCATTGATTATGTAGAGAAACATAAAAAAAATTAATTAAAATTATCATGCTTTTTAAACTAATCAAGACCAATTATATTATTATTCTATTTGGTTATATCATGAACTAAACTTTCGATAACTACGACATTATACGATTATTTATATCGGATATCGTATTAGTATTAATTTAAATAAATCGATATATTATGTCTTTGATATTTATATGAATTTTAAAAAACTATTATCGTATTAGATATGAATATATCTAATAAAAATCGAACCTAAAACCTTTAAACTCAAAGAGTTTTTCCTTAATATCTGATTTAATCATTTAAAAATTTGTTTTATATAATTGTAAGTTCTCTTTATTTTTTTTAAAATTCAAATTTAAAATTAATTGCATTCAATAATGTTTAAGAATCTTACTGAACCAATCGATAAAAAACATTTCAAAGCAAAATTATTTAAAGTTAAAATGATGAATTATAAAAAATAAATAACGTCCATGTCCCAATTCTTGCCTAACAACGGTCCGATTTCTAAATCTTCCTGACTTCCTCTTCTGTTCTTGTGTTGCGTTATTCAAGGAAAAAAAAAACCCAACTCCAAGCCAAATTCAAAAACACCACCAAGAGCAAGGTCAATTCCGTCATCCCGAAGTTGCAGTCCCACCAGCCTCGCCACTTACAACAAGTCAAACAGTCAACTCCCCTGTACAAACAACATCCTTAATCCAATCCAAAGCCGCTAATCATCTTCTTACGTGTCACCCTCCTACTGGTCCATTCTCTCTCGTCGGGATCCATAGCAGCACAACCAATAAACAAAACCAGGAGTCACTCTCTTCTTCTCTCTCACACAAGCACAACTTTCTCTCTCATAAAACTGTGTTTTTTCTCTCTTACAAAAATCCCAAAATTTCACTTCGATTTCTCTCTCTTCGTCCCCCAAAACATCCGCTGCCTTGCTCTGCAATGGACGATCTTCATTTCGAGTTTTGAAACTCGAATTTTGACTCACTGAGTTGTTTATAGATATAGTTATCCATATTTTATAATGTTGGAGACAATGGAGAGTTCAGTAGACGGAGAAGGAGGAGTTGTAGGAGGGTTTTCTCACTTACAGAGCTGTGGTGACAGTAGTGAAGAAGAGCTTTCTGTGCTGCCACGTCATACTAAAGTGGTAGTTACTGGAAATAACCGTACTAAGTCGGTTCTCGTGGGTCTTCAGGGTGTTGTCAAGAAGGCTGTTGGACTTGGCGGGTGGCATTGGCTGGTAAAATTTTCTATTGTTTTTGGGTCTCAAAACTTACGGAAATGGGTTTTATGTTCTGTCATCTGCGGTCTGGTTTGGTTTTGATTGGCAGTATCTTTTGCAATGCAGGTCAATCTAATGGTGTTGGGTTTGGATTTTGTGTTAATATGATACTAACTTATTAATCACTTGCTTTAAATTTGCATTTTTTTTAATAATTGCAGTTTTTATTATAGAAGTTAAAATCATGGAGTATAGGCGCTTAAACGTGAAATTTTGCAAGATTTAAGGAGTTTCCTGAATTGCAAGTTATAATTCAGGGGTTCACGAAATGGGTTTTATTGCATGTGAGTTTTTACCAATGGATCTGGTGTTTTGAGGGGCCCTTTGTAATGTGGGGTTTTATGTGGATGATTTTGTGAGGTTTTTGGGTTTATTTTGATTGCTTTTGTGTTCTATGTCTGCTCTGGATTGCTTCTTAGCGTTGCATGATGGGGCTATATTTGGGGGAGATTCATTTTTTAAATGATTCTCTTTTAGTTATACCAAAAAAAAAAAAAAAATTCAGACATTATCTGAAATCAGTTGGATTAAATAATCTTTTAAATTCTTCTATTCTCTTGCATGTTCGTTTTTCGGGAATTTTTCCCTTTTTTTTTCAACCTTGTATCTTCTGAAACTTGTTTTGTTTCCTGGGTTACTGATGGAATTCACTAATTTTGCCTTCAAATACCTCTTATATTTGTTTATTTAGTTCATTTTCTACTAAAGTCTGTAATGTATACACACCTCTCAATTTTTGGCTGACTGAAAATTCTACACTTCTTTTGATATGTGCTAAAGACGATAAAGCTGTTTCTTTTTTAGAATGTTCCGCTCCACTTTAGGTATTACCTTTTAAACATTTGGTCACTCTCTTTAGCTGGTTTTTTATTCTCGGGGAAAAAGATTTGGTGTTTGTTCCCGTTTTTTTCCGTGGTATGTGTTTCTTATGCTTAGTTAAGCATTTTTAGCTATCATGTAAATTGCTTATGATGAATTATTTTTTTTTTTGTATAATAATTATGAAAGTTTAATTTGTTATTTTTGCCTGAACTTCAAATTGAAATTATTTGACTGACTTCACTAGCACATTTCCACCGTTTCTTCCCTTTTGCTCGCTTTCTGATGTCTACCAACTTGTCCATGTATAGATTTATGATCTGTATGATGTCATTCCAATAGGCATTTGTTATGTTTCTGATATCTTTGATTCTCCAATTCCTAAAATTACAGGTCCTGACAAATGGCATAGAAGTAAAGCTACAGAGGAATGCTCTTAGTGTGATTGAGGCTCCCACAGGCAATGAGGAGGATGATGATCTGGAATTTGATAACGTGCAATGGAATGGTTTGGATATGGGTGAGCTGGGTTAGTAGACCTCTCTTCTTAAATACTGTCTTCCAGTTCCCAAATTTAGTGATGCTTGTTATAGCAGAACTCTGTTACAAGTTGTGGAAACGAGCCAGGTATTCAAGAGAAAATAAGCTATCAATCTCATTATTACCTTGCTCTGCTGTGCTGATTTGCTAAATGCAGCTGTGTTTCGTAATGAATTTTCTTAATTTATACCTATGTAGTTTCCAAATTGTCTTTGTACAAACATATGGCATTATTTAGGGGAATCCTTAGTCTTTAAGATGTAATTAAATGTTTGCTTGGACTAACAGTGGGTTCTTAATAGTATATGTATTATTAGTAAAAGTGGTCAAGTTTGGCACATAGGATTCATTCTGTCTTCCACCTTTAACTTTCACTATTGCCAAAAGCGCCCTTGTATCATATCTTTTTCTTTTGGATGGGTCCACCACCCTTTTAATTCTGGTTTTGTGTCATTTCTAATTTTCCAGCATCCGATGACACTCAAAAGTCCCATAGATCAAGGAATCGGACGCATAAATCAACAGGATCGTCTCACAAGACTATGAGCAGGTCTCTTTCTTGTGACTCACAGTCTAAGGGCTCTGTTTCCACCCCTCGTGGGACCACGGTATATAATCTTTAATTAGTACTCATATTTACTTCTTTCTACTGTTTTTTTTTTTTTTCCATTTTCTAATTTTAACAAGAAATTGACTACAGAAATGTATTAATATCTTTTTTTTTTTTTTATCCGACTCATCTCCACTACAGAAGGTTGACCTCAGCAAGTTGGAGATGGCTGCTTTGTGGAGATATTGGCGACACTTTAATCTTGTGAGTTTTTTTATGGAGGGAAACTAGAACAAATAACTTAATACTTTATGTAGCATGCCCAAATTAATTAAGCTCATGGATTTTTGTAGGTGGATGCCATACCCAATCCATCTAAGGAGCAACTAATTGATGTTGTTCAGAGGCATTTTATGTCGCAGGTATTTATATTTTGTGCATGCTTTCTTGTAGTCATCACCCCACACACCCCATGTTTATCTTCACATGTAATTTAAATGTATTGCATGGGACTGAGAATTAGATGCTCTTTGAAAAAAAAAAGAAAAGTAGGTAATCATATTCGATGGGCATTTGGCTCATATTCGTTGAGTGCTGGGAAACCTAGTGATAAACACTTAGGTTCTTGGATTGTTCAATTATCAGGATTTATTTTCCCTTTCTTTTTGAACTACAATGTTTGTAATGGGAGGTTATGAATAGCTTTCGAATTTTCTGACCATCATAAGCTGACATGATGTTCTTTTGCTGGTGCAGCAAATGGACGAGTTGCAGGTTATTGTGGGATTTGTCCAGGCTGCAAAAAGACTGAAGACTGTCTGCAAATGACCCTGAGACAAAGAGAGATCTCTTGAGTTTCTCTGTCCATGCTAACAGATACCTGGTACTTGAATATTCTCTTCTCTATGTGTAACATATGTATCTTGGCTTGTTTATCATCGTATCTATCACTAGGTTAGTATTTTCCCTGTTAGAGCTATAGAGGTTCCTTCTTTTTGTTAGTGTAGCTATGTAGATATATGTAAAAACTGGCGAGGTGACTCAGACCTCTAAGAAGTCCTTGCGGCTTTCTACTAAGCTTGCTTTAATTAATGTATTGCTGACTTTGAGGGACGTGGATTTCTGAAAGTGTATATATTCTTGGTTCTCTTCGTTGGCCAATCTGATCTCTCCTCCCTATGGGTCCTGTGCTTCTCAAACAATAATCCAGTGAATTTTGAAGATGTTAGGGGAGCTCATTTTTTCAGATTTGAAAACCTTTCCATAGGAAGAGCGGTCCATAATTAAATATATAATTGAGGTAAAATCCTTAAACAACTCTATCAGCTAGGTCAAAAAGTAGTGATTAGCTTATTATTAAATGCAGTGGGAAGGTATTGCCATTTGCCAGTGATACACCCGCGTGTCGAGGACCACAGACAGTGAATGTTACTTTCCTTTTGATTAAATGCATGGATGTGCTTGCAACTGTTTGATTGAAGTTGTGTCGTTTTCTATGCGTTTGAGGAAAGTCGAAATCACATGATTTGGCGCATCAAAATGGGACCCAGCTGGTTATTATCGCTGTTGTATTAGTACTATTTTATTGAGAGGGTGTACAGGATTAATCAAGGAAGGAAAATTCCTGAACCGTTTGCGATGATGACTCCACATACTGTATGGAAGTCTACCCTAGAGCTTAGCTTTGGGCCATGATCATTGATAGATTTATGGTCAAATTAGAAAAGAATTACGTGGAAAGCTGTTGCAATCTTTTTCAAAGGAAGTGAATTAATGGTGTAATTAAATGCTCGAGCTAACATGTCAGGCTAACCCATATGGAATAGAAGTCGATAACGATGTGAGACCTTTTGACGGGGTCCAGGGAATAGCTGGATAGCAACATAAATTAGCATGCATGCTAAGTATGATGCCGTAGTGTTGAAGGAAGTTTTAGAACTTTCTTAATCTTTGGATTAATTGCGCAGGTTTCGAGTGTGTGTATATGCACATGTAAAGACTCAAATTTTACATTTAGATAGTCGTACTTTCCTATCTCTTCTAAATTAATAGTTTTTCACTAGATTGTTAGCGATACGTTGTGGATCGCAGAGCATATAAATTTATTTTAAAAAATAATTTTAATTTGATATCATTTACTACATTATAAAATTACTAACATGTATTGATTTAAAGATTTAAAAAAAAATCTAAATTTACAATTTCTTTATTTTTATTTTTTGTATTTTCATAAATTTGCAGTTAGAAAACACAATTTGTTATTTTTATGTATTGATTTTTAAAACAAAATCTACAAATCTAAATATAATATTTAATCTAAAATTTTAAAAAATGACTTGATAGTTTTTATAAAATTGCATCGAAAAAAGAAATCAACAATTTATATAAAGGTTGTATAAAAACTAACAAATGAAATTCTTTTTTTCATTCTTATTTAATGCTAATGAGAAGATTTTTTTTGAAATATATACATTTGATTTGTATATATTTTTTTATTTACAAAACAATCAATAATATTAATATAAAAAGTTATATTTGAATCATTGGATGGTTCTCTTAAAATATCATTAAAAAAAAAATTAAGAACAAATAGTTGGTGTTATGTGTGTATATGCATAATTAAAATTAATTATCTCAATTTTTTTAAAATTTATACATCATTGATTGTAATTAGTGGATTTAGAGAGTGTAGCATGAATAAATAAATATTTTAAAAATAAATAAATTACACATAATATATTAAAGTTAATAGATTGAAATAAAAACTAAAAAATTAATTTAGAGAAAATTTAAATATATAAAGAAAAAGCAAATAAAACATGTGAATTTTATTTTTTTAATTAATTTTTTAGAAAGTTTGAGATAAATTATCTAAAATATAAAATAATTATATTCTAAAATTTCATTAAAAAATTCATACACATATAGAGAGAAATAAATCATATTTATTAAAAAATAAAATTATATAAAAAATTAAAAATTAATTTCATAAGAATTTCCATAAGAAATGAAAAATCAAAAAAATCATTTTAAACAATAAAAGTAATACAATCTTATATATGTTCATTAACAAAAAATAAAATAATCATATTTTAAAATTTTATTCAAAATTAAACATAGTGAAAAGTAAATCATATTTATTAACAAAAAAATTATGCAAAAAATTAATTTCATGAGAATTTCTATAAAAAAAGGACAAATAAAAAATTAATTTTAAATAATAAAGTAATATAATTCGATATATGTGTTTATTTTAAATTATAAAAATATATTTTATTATCGTCGATCCGTGTGAAAAAAATAAAAAAATAATAATAATTGGTTTTCTATAATTTTTGTATCCAATTCAATAATAAAAAAAGAGCAAAAGAAGAAAAATAAATAAAAGACATTTCATTGTAGACTAATAAATATTAAATAAAAAAATTCAATTTTTTTTTATCCAATCTACCTTTTTAAATTATTTTATGATATGAAACTACTATAAACACACTTGTTTTTAATCGAAATAAATAATATAAAAGCAAGATTAACCACAAAAGAGGTTGAAATTGGAGCCAATAATGGCTTTTTCTATCCTATATCTGTATTTAGAGATCAAATTGCGACATATAAATTTAGAGATCAAAATATATATATTTTTTTTAAAACATAAGAGATTAAAGTGTAATATCAAAAAATTCTGCATATAAAATAGTTTTTGAAAGAAAACATACAAATCACAAAAATAACAATGCATAGTTATATAAATGTAAATAAACCGTAAATAAATAGTGTTTTGTGATTAGTGTTTGTTTTTTTTTTTTGAATGATTGTTTTCAACAAAGGACCATAAGTAACAGGTTCGAGGAGAAGAAGCATAGCTAGTGTTTGGTGGTTGAAACTCCAAACAACCGCTAAGAAATTATTGATTGGTGACAGTATATTTTTTTTAGGCAGCTAGCATGTGCCTGATGTTTCTCTCTTTTTTCTACAAACACAAACAATTACTCATCTCGTTCCTTCCATAAAAAAAGCATGTACAAACAGGAACAGTATTAATTAGTGCTCATTTCCCTTCTTGCAAGGACCCATACCCTTCAATCTTGGTCGCTGCTGATTTCCATCTTAATAGTCAACAGTTTATCTACCGTCAAAAGTGTCCATCTCCAGCCCATGTTTATGGCTCAATAGATAACCACCGCATTGGTGTTTCACCTTGTCTGCTAACAAAGTTGTCCTATTAATTTTCATCGTCATGCTCCTTTTATTCTAATTTTTCCCTTCCACCTGTCAACTATTGATTTTTGGTTGAGCTGGAGGCTTAAAGCGTAATAAGAGGAAACCTTTGGTTCTGGACCGCAGGCCTCGACTTCTTCTGCATCTTTCTTTGGGCTGGCCAGAGCTTTGGTGACAGGCAGGCTCTCGAACATTGTCCATTAAGAACCCTAAAGCAATATGAGCTCGTGGTTTTTTTTTTTTCTGATTTCGTTGAGGCACAGAGTGTGGAGTGGATTTTCCTTTGCTTGACAACTGGAAATTACCAGGACGGTAAAAGTTAGTGGAAGTAATTAAAAGTGAAGAATACCAGGAAATCCCGAAGACAAATCTTGTATAGATGGCTTGTGAATTTCTAATCCTTGCCAACCATCATGGAGTCTTTCAAAAAAAAAAAAAAAAAAAAAAAAGAGTGAATTGGGCCCTCAATGTTCAGGAACTGGCATGACCAATCAGTATCACAAACAGTTCCAAGCAATTGAGATTGCTTGTGTGTGTGTGTGTATTGTTTTTGATGGGCTATTTGATAGAAGGGTTAGGCTGGGTCTAAAAATCAAATAGGTTAGTTGTACTAACACTGGAATCAAGGTCCACTGTAGACCCAATCCATCTCAAAGTTTAGTTTAGGCCCTCTCTTTTTTTTTTATCTGGATATTCCAGGATAAAAAATCCAGATTAATCTTTCACTCTTTCAGTTCCAAAGGAGTAGATACTGTCCAAATGGGCCCAATAAACTCTTTTAGTTCTAAAGGAGTTGATCCTGGCCTGGTGGGCCCACTAAATTGAACGGAATCCACATCGTGTTTTTTTTTTTTGAACTTGAATGATTTTGCAGTTAGCGCTTAAAGCCTTAAAGGTTCGCTAAATCAAGACGGAAGAATGCGAGCAGCAGTCGTTTAGATGTTAACGACAATCTCTCTTGGATAAAGCCACGCTGCATAAAATTCGGTGAAATGAAACTGGAAACCAGCCAGATGATGGAAACACTCATCCACATTTTTCAAAAAATTATATTTTATATCATATGGTTTTGATATTTGTTTCAGAAAACATCTTTTATTATAAATTTGTTTCCAAGTGGAAAATTTCCTAGTAAAAAAATCTAAATTATTACAAATTTGCTATTATTTTTTTTTAATTGCCACAATGTTCTTTGAAAACATTTCTATCTTAAAAAATAAAAAAGAACCATCAAATGGAAATATGGCGATTAATGACTGTTGCTTTTGGCCTATATAAATGCCTAAAAAATGCCAAAACAATTAAACTCTGCTCAACATTAAAAATCTAATACAAAACACCAAATAATCAATTCAAAACACTCAAATTCAGTAATTAAACATTCAAAATTCAACCTCAAACATCAAAATACAGATCAAAACATTAAAAACTATAATTCGAAATACAATATATCAACATTGACCAACAAGCCTATAATGTACCCTATACTTACAATATACAACAAATTCCCACCATCCAAAATACTATTTTCTTATAAAAGTATAACAAGGTTAGAAACAAATTCCCACAGTTTATGTATGTGACCAAATATATCTTAACACATCACTAGTTCTGCTAGCTGAATTATACTCATATAACAACTATCAGCCCAAAAAATTCTGTATAAATAAGAAAATGGACCAAGATCCAAGGAGACAATGACAATTAATAACTAGATTGTCATACTTAGTTAAGAATGTTAAAATTTCAAATTTCATAATATAAACTCTCATCATTACACAGAAAGAATTTGCATCCGTACAACTTCAAATCAGTTAAAGTATCACAAAGAAAGAGAACTAAGACCACCAACCAAAAAAAGTTAAGCAACTATTACGTTGATGACAGAGTGACCAAAAAGAAAAAGAAACGGCATTACTTCCCCAGCAAAGGTTTCCTCTGGCTCATGATGAACAATGATCATTGACCTTCTCTCAACATCTTTTTGCAGGCTTAAGCATAAACCAATTTATTTCTTAGCAATGCCTATTTTACTTATAAAATGGGGATTTCTGTCATCATATACAAACAAATGTTCAATCAATAATCACACATACATCTTAACATCATAAATTATAGAACATTCTAACATAAAATTATTGTAGAGAACACACCACCAATTTCCCCCTGTTTCTCCTTCTCTTCTTCCTGCCACCTTTTGCACTTCCTCTTTGAACCTCTTCTTCTTTAATAACTTAAAAAAACCTTAAAAATCCTAAGTTTTAATGAGTTTTGCAAGAAATAACAAATTATAACATAAATAATCAAATTCTACTAAAAAAATCAACATTTAAAATTTGGGTATTTTTTGAAGTTTTAATTAACCACTTAAAAAACTTTAAAATTCCCAATTCTTAATGTGTTTTGCTCAAAACAACCAATTAAAGGATAAGAAAGCTATTCCAAAACAACAACGAAACATTTAAAAAATTAACGTATGTTTAGAATTTTCAATCATAGATGAAAAAACTTTCAAAACACTCAAAATATTTATGAATTTTGTTCGAGATTAAAAAAAAGTAATGTTAATCTCAATATTTTATGGATTAAATATATTTATCTTTCAAAAAATTAAAAATTAGGTTACGCTTCACGTATCTTGTTTCACCTTTGAATCATCCACTATTCGTCTTCATCCGACCATAAACAATTACAAAAACATTTAATTAACAAAATACTCAATAAAACAATTTGATTTCAAGAGACTTGGCACTAAAAATCCGTGTTTTTTTGGTATCTCCCGCTTTGAAGAGAGAGAGAGAGAGAGAGAGAGAGAAATATGAGAGAAGAAACTAAGTTGGGAAAGGAATGGGTTATGCTTAGTCGGCATTTAGGATATAATTATATATATGAGGGTATTGTTATCATTTTTTAGTTTATTGGTTTGAAAATTCATATAAAAAAAGATGATATGAAGTGTAAGTTTTGAAAAATATAGATGCAAAATGTTCTCATCACCTAACTAAAATGTGTTTTTCATAATTTATACAAAAATTTATAGTAGTATTTTGAATCCAAAGAACATGGCTTTTCTTTTGAATTAATTTGTCTCTCTCTACCTCTTTCTTCTTTACATAGTTATCAACTATTTATTGTTAAAATATGATATGTCGGCTAGTTCAGGGAAATTTGAAAAATTGTAGTCATTTATAAGTAAAAATGTTCTGGTTTTACCTTTCTTTGCCATTACCTGTGTGATCGCGTGAGAGTTTTAACGAGTGATTGATCGGTCTCGTTGTAAAAAGTTTTTTATTTGAGTTGTGTAAGCTAAGGTTTCAATAAAGGTCAAAACCAACAATATTTTGGATTTTGCATTTAGTTTACATTGATTGCATTTTTTTTTTATCTCGTTCTTTGCTATTAGCTTACGACTTTCAAGCTTCTTGTCTTTGGGCTCTCTATGTGCATTGTTTTTTACGTGCGAAGCTTGGTCTCAAGATGATCAAACCTTACAATATTTATTGTTATTAATATGGTTTCCATTTTTTGGATACCCTAAGAAGATCATTGATCTTATATGTTTTTGTTGATTGGTCGCTCATCTTTTATATATTGCTCGCATCACAACATATTCGTAATCTCATTGTATATTTCTCCAAATTGGCTTCACATGCCAATTTTGGGTTAATAAATCCATTTGTTGTATAGAAAGGCCTAAAAAAAAAAAAATTTAACGCTATAGGGATGCTTTTTTTTTTTTTTATTGAAGATGGAATTTGAGTGAAAAGTTGTGTTTTGAAATCGGAGATGTCTAAGACTTGCTATTTTCATATAGTAATGCATCCAAAAATAATTAAGTCAATTGTTTTACCTTTTCGATTCCCGAGTAGTACGTTTTGTCTGTAGATCATAATTAAAAAAAAATAGTGGCATTTGTGTAATGTTTTTTTTTTTTTTTACTTGAAAAATAGAGTTTTTATTAATTAAGATTTTTGTTTGCCTTTTTTTTTAACTCACACACCTAAGGTGTCTACTAAGATTTGAACTCGTGACTTTTTGTTATAAGAGAATACTACCACTGAATTATAAGCTCTTTTATATTAATTAATTAATTAAGATATTTGACTCTTCCCTTTATATTCATCCATTTTAGTTTCACTATCCTTTTAAAGTCTTTTACACCTAAAAAATATAGACGGTTTCAACAAAAAACACAACCGACTATCAAAACGTTATATTTGCAATGTGGCTTTATTTAAGAGAGAGTGATAGCTTATTCTTAGCACATAAAAAGAAACATAATTTAATAATAAAAAATGACACAATAAATAAATAAATTCATTATAAATTAAGATGAATAAAAAATAAGGATTAAAATCACGTTATCATATTTTGTGGTATAAAGATGATCGAACCATCAAATTAGTTTTATTCGAATTTTTTTATGATTGACTCAAGGCACAAACCAATGTTGCTTTCTTGAGATGACACGTACCGTCCGCATAATTTATCCGATACAATAGATTAAATAATGTTGCACGTCGTCTTAGGAATACAACAAGTTCGATCACCTTGTTGTATCTTAATAAATTTACACTACGTATAAGACTTAAAACTCTAAAAAAAATAGCATCACTCGACCCAAATTCACATTACAAAAAAAATAATAATATGGCTTTTCATGGGAATATAAACAATATAAATGAAACTTTTTTCTTAGAACAATGATATATACGGTTAGAAAATAAATATGCATGCTATCATCTTTACTCAAGAAAACTAATTTGCATGCTAGTTATTTTAGTCAAGAAAATCAAGTAGGCAAATTATCTCAATTTGTCAAAAACAAAGTCAGATATATATAGAAAATGAGAACATGTCGTTTGATGCAATAAATCTAGGCTAAAACAATAATGATGATCAACGATAGAAAACGCTTGAAACATTTGCTTTTATTATACATTTCAAAATATTTGACCGTCTTGAAACAGTTATGCATAACTTGCATGGCTGTTTCAAAACAATCATGACATTGTTTTCAAATAGTTTGAAATTTTGTTTTCAATATTTTATTAAAAATAACTCACCAATTCCTCACTTATTCTTCACTTATGTTTAATAAAATACTATACATATTTTTTGGATTAAAAAAATAAATATAATATATAATAAGGATGTCAATGATTTGAACCCTTAGTATTTTAAGAATATCGTTCGAAGTCAATAGTGAATATTGTCTTGAACTATTGTTTTTTTAAAAAAAACAAATATTATATCATACATATTATATCCAAATACTCGCGATGAGTTTCGAAACCAATACATTATAGTCTTGTGTTTGATTCCGGCTTCTATGAGCGTGCTAGAGCATTAGCCTTATTCTTATATGAAGCGAGTCTCATTTCCTCACTCATATAGGTGTATCCATCAATAATGTTCCATAACTCTAACATACAATTCAAAATGAACTATATATCACATTAAAATGTTTTATCTAAAGAAACTTAACATTTCTTTTATTATGGGATTCATGCACTAAACCACGAAGATAAGCATATGAGTATTCTATCTCAAATTGTGCAAGTAATTGAATCACTCGTATACTTGTTTTTCTCCTTAAACCTAGTTCTTGAGATCTCTAGTTACTAGAAACAATATCAATATAGGTGATTTTATTCATATATAGGCTTATTCGATCCCTCTCAATGTACATCCAATACTTTGATTTTAGCTAAAGATTTAGTCTCGTAATTTTTAATGTACATATCAAAATAATTAAGTAACCAGAACTTAATCAATTCATTGATGCTAAGACAAGTGATAAGAATTTTTTATTCTTACTATTTTTACTTTGGACAAAGTATAACATCAACTTGCTTCTTCATTGGTTTTCACACCCACACATACTTGAGCCCGTTGAAATCATATTATTTTTTTATTTTTTGTGTTTCATCATCATGCTAAAGCATGATGGCATCATTGTATTTTCTAATTCAATATAAAACATTAAATATGATCACATTACAATGAACAAGAACTGTTTTCAATTTCTAGTTTACAAACATTTCATAAACATCATTATACCTTTGCCAAATATTTCATAAACATCGCATTAAAACTTTTCATGAAAAATATAAATATCATAAAGAGAGAAGTATGATAATTTATATTGAAATACAAAATATTATTTTCTCCATCAAATATTTAATATAATAATTTTTTTATGTATGCCCCAACTATTGACATAATATCTATTTTCAATGAAATAGTATTTTGTATATGCTCCCATTATTCACATAGCATATATTTTTCTTAATACCATTGTAGACGAGATGATGGCATGAATTATTCTTTTATTTTATTATCAGCATTCACAACTTATTTCTTGTGACCTATCAATCATTAAGATATACTTCTTTAAATAAGATAGAATATCAAGTTTTATTTCTCACACAAAAAATATTACATGAAAAGTTCTCTATTAAATTAATCATGCACCTTTTCAATTTATGACATAAAAATAATTGGCTTTCAAATAACAATTGATTTTAATTATATTAATACGAGACACTTTCAAATCTTAATACATTTATCATGTGAACAAATATTTTAATCTATAAACATTAAATAACAAGAATTTATATGATAATTCACATTTTTCCCTTCATTTTTTTAGATTAAAACACTTAAGCATGGATCAATAAATATCCATACAATAATCTAAAATTACTTACAAATACAAGTATTATGTGCTTTCATCATCATAAGTGAATTTCAAATATATAGGGTAATAATCAAAGAACTTTAATAATTTGATATTTAAAATACTTAACTTTTTATACTTATCGTATCGTAAGTATTGTTGGAGACTTGAAATAATTTTATGTTGGCAAAGCTCCCATTGCCTCCAATGCCATATAAGTTTAATTGCCTTGACTTTGCTTCCCATATGATCAATATATCTATGTAAAAATATTGTATATATTATCTTCATTGGTTTTTCATTCATCACGGTAACATGACATTAACATAATAAATAATTTCAATGTCAATTATAATTGGTCGATATAAATAAATTTATAAATCAATTCTCAATTTATTTATATTTGTATCAATAGTAAAATTCACATAAATAAATTCATGATATGGTTAATATCACAAATATTAATTTTCAACACTATTGATTTTTTTATCTCGAACAATAATATTTAATAGGTAACCATAAATTAGAAAAAAATATTGCAGATTACTATGTAAAATATATTATAAATATGCACATAAAATATATTAGTTGAAAATAATATATATATTTTCCAAAGAGCAATAAAATTTTAGGTCAATAAAATAATAATTTTTTTACTTGCTTTATGCTTAATTAAACAGAATTATCAAACACTAATAAAAAACCACAATAGGCAAGTAATGACGTTGATATTATAAAAAAATATAATATTAAAATTCATGTCCAGATTCTTTAAATCATAAACATAAAACTCATCTCAAATTGTTCCTAGCACATAAAAAATAACATAATTTAATAATAAGAATTCACATAACAAATAAATAAATTCATCACAAATTAAGATGAATAAAAAATTACAACTTTTTATTTTATCTTGATCATTAAGAAAAATTGAAATTGAAATCATATTATTATAATTTACGATATAAAAATGACCGGGTCATCAAAAAATTTTACTCAAAAAAATAAATATTTATGCTAGTTATAATAGTCAAGTAAAACAAGTATGCAAGCTATATATATATATATATAGAAGAAGCCGTTTGATGCAATAAATTTAGGCATTAAAAAATAACGATGATGATCAACCATAGAAAATGCTTGAAACGTTTGCTTTTATTGTACATTTCAAAATATTTGACTGTTTCGAGACAGTTTTGCATAACTTGCATAACTGTTTCCAAACGGTACTCCGAAACTCTTTTTTTTTTTTTTCAATATTTTATGACAAATAATGCAACAGCAGCTGCCCAAACGACTGCTGCAAGGATTCCTTAGCAACTTAATGGGACAGTTGTCTTTCTCTCGTAGCGTGAATCTAAAATTTATTCATATCATGCAAACTGATATTACAAATTAATTTATCCACCATCCATTTTTTTCACCTTTTTTTTTTTCCCAATAATATCGTCCATTGTTGGTTTACCATTGATTTAGCTTATTAATACACTCAATGGGAACCTGAAGATGCTGTAAAAATTATTGGACTCAATGAAGTCCTAAAATACCAAATTAAATGTTATGCGCTGCATTGTTCTAAACTCCTCCACAATAAATCATGGTTTTATGACCGTAGGATGTCATCATAATAACTGGTCAAAGTCTGTGATATATGTATATATATCATTTTTCTTTATACTTATAAAAAGTCATAATTCAAATATTTTTAATTTAAAAAAATTACGTTAAAAAATACTCAATTGTAAGATGAGATTATAATAACCTTTTAAATTTGATGATTAATTTTGTTCTATTTCGATAATATGATTTCACTAATTATTAATGTTTAATCTATAAATTACCTAGCTAACTAATAATTGTAGACTACATGGTCTTATATGTGATCCAAAAAGCAAAGTTTCATCAACAAATTTCCGACCGTGGAACGGTGGAAGAAGTAATTTCCAACCAAAAAATGCATTACGCCCGCAAAAAATAAGCCAATAATTTTCATTCCTTTAGCTTTCAATTAGTCGGCATAGGTTCAAAGTCGTAACAATTATGGTCACAACAACCATCAATTCTGCATTTCTTCAGCCAACCATTGTATAACTGGCACTATCAAACTCTTCCAACTAGAAAACACCGGATCAAACTCTTCCACCCAGAAAACAATGGTTCTTCTTTGCCGTTTGTTGTGATTAGTCTCCATAATTCCATTGTCGCTACTCTAGAAAAAGTCTATATGATTGAATATTCCATGATGTCACTTACTATTGTGATTAAGAACACTACAAAAGTTTCCAACTCTTTTTGGTCAAAGATTCAATTTAGATCCCGCAACGTAGGAGTTCTTTATGATCAATCAGCCACAATGAGGGACTTCTTTTACAGCTTTTTTCCAACTCAGATTAAGGAGCCAACTATTGAACTTTTGTTTTTATATAATGACGGGATGTAATTTGGTCAAAAGACTTAAAAGAAAAGCAACTTTCTTTTCATCTGTGGCTTTTCCTCAAATATTGGCCAATGGAGTATTTATCATGATCTTTTAAACATGGAAAGTGCAGCCAGTTGTCGCAACTCTACTGAGAAGAAGCAGAAGAGAGACTAATTTGGAAGGATTGGCCATTTCAGTTCAATAATTAACACTCCACGGTCTCTTCCTCACTTGATTTACCGCAAATACATGAAACGTGCAGCTAATATTCCTAGTTCAAATAATGTGTTTTGAATCATCTTCATTGGCGTTGGTGAAGTCTCAAAGATGGCCCCAGCAACTTGTTTCCGTGAACGTACTCGCATTGTTTTGCCGAGTTGGCAGTCAAATTTGGAGGAGCAAATTACAAGAACCAATGTTTCGGGCAATTTATATTTGACCATTCCAATGTAAGTTAAGTTCAGTCGACTTCAATAGGAGTTAGGACCCTTTGATTCATGCAAATACTAGTTTTAGGACTTTGTGGATCCAAAATGTTTCTCTCGAGTATCTCGGGAGATAATGACAGGCATGGCCTATAGTATCTCTGTTCTCATTACCATTATAATAATATTTAGTCCTTGCGTTTTCTAAAAAATAATTAATCAATATTTTTGGTTTTAAATCCCTTATATTGGGTCTCTATATTTTTTATATTCTTTTATAATTTAGTCCTTCTAGTCAACTTTCCAAGTATGTCCATTAACATTAAGTTTCGGAGAAAACTAATTTGTGATTTTCAAAACTAAAGGTCTAAAGTACATATTATAAAGGACACAGGCACTAAGTGAAAACTTACTCTTATCTAATTTCAACTTTACGAGCCTCGAAGTTTTTCTCGCGACAGGAAAGGAACTAGTGGAGTACAGAACTAACCCTCTTATACTTGCCTTTGAATCCATTAACCTAATTACGTTATAATCAAATTCTAGTCAACCTAATTAAGGCAGCCATGACACAAGGCAGCCACAAATAATCAATTAGATATTAACATACAATCTTACATTGAGCATGGACACAACAACAGCTGAATTTTGTACAAAAGAAGACAAGTCATTTTAGAGATTCTTTATTTACAAAAAATCCCATTGCCAGCAAACCTTCTCTACAATCCCTCCACCGCTCCGAACAGCAAGGCGAAGTGTTTCAGAAGCGGGTGGAAGTGTGGAACCCCCCAAAGATATGGCACTGCCACTGTCATTGTTAGCTTTTCATGCGAGCCACCTTTGATGGCCTTCTCTGCAGTCACAACCTGAAAAGTGAAGACTCAGTTTTATCCTAAGATATGGCTAATCCACACATACAAACTCCAGAGATAGGCATCGTATTAAATTATATGACCATACAAATAAAAAAAAGTAAGGCAATGAAGATGTGCCAAGTTCCAAATCCCTCTTATACTTGCCTTTGAATCCATTAACCTAATTACGTTCACTGAAGACTTTTACTAAATTTTCTTTCATTTTCTCGATGAACAGACAGAAACTAAAAGACTAAATCAAACTCTAGTCAACCTAATTAAGTGAAAGTAACAACTCACTAAAGTTTTCAAATTTAACAGAAAAAGAGGATAAAAATCTAATTTAATTTTTCCTTCACTTTTACAGCAAACAAACAAAAGTCCAAAATTGAATTGCATCATCTCTAATCAATTTTTTTTTAAAATGAAACCATTCATTAAGTTCAAAATTGAATTCATTTTTTCATTAAAAAAATTAAATTGAGAGGATAAAAGAGTGTTTGAGACGAGATTGAACAATTTATGACATAGATGTTTATTCAATAACATGGATATTGAAAAGATCCTATGTATCAAAAAGTGTCTTTAATTAGGAATTAAGTTTAAAAATACTCTATTTAAGAATAAATATCTAAAAGTTTCTTAATTTAGGAAAAAAAAAACTCATGAAATTTATGCATCATTAAGCATATGAAATGAATGTGACAAAAATAAGAATAAATTCCACAACAGAGTTTATATCTATTACACCTGGATATGAATCTATTGAAGTAACAATGACATGATCTTATTATAGAACTAAAGAATCAGCCGACCAAATGGGGCTGCCTCCAGAAATCGGCACAAGAGATGATAACTACCCTCGATTCGTAGGTATGCATATACCTACAGCATCTACCCAATTGCGTTTCCAACAACTAATGGAAGATTCCTCTAAAAAAAATTTATAAAATATATATAACACCTGATTTATCAAAAAACTGCAAATTATATGATGCACATATTTATCATGTTTAACATATTCTTGAACTAGTTTTCATGTAACAAAATTCAGTAACTCTTTTTCAATGTACTTTCGATAAACCATCAATATCCAGATGCATTCATAAGGGGTTTCTGTTTCTTTTCTTTTTTCTTTCTTTTTTTTAAGGAAAAAAGAAAGATATTCCAAAAATTTAGATATATCCGAAAAGATAGCATAAAAAACAAATTAACGACTCAACACATCAAGAGTTGCATGAGAATTAAATGAAAATTAGACTGAGGTATCCTTATTTTCTCTATGAAATTTAATTAAGTTTAATTGGATCTCAAAACTTTGCTGGTACAAGCTACCATTAGATTAGGATTCCCCAAATCTTAGGTGGGCATCGTTTTTTAGCTACTGGGTCGAAAGAAATAACATGCATAATTCTCTAGGGGGGCTGCTTTTCTTCCCAATTTGATGATGTCCAACCACCTCCAAGAATATGTAACTTTCATTAATAACCAATTTGTCAAATGTCAATTGTTCTCTCTGTTTAATTTTTTTATGCCTTTTGTTTTCATGGTCCTTGAATTATTAGCAAGGAGCAAGAAAATAGTAATTGTAGATGGTATCATGGCAAATTTATGGCCATCATTGCCATAACACCAGTCCCATTAAACACTATTAATACCGACTTCGAATCCATTGCAAATGTGCATTTGTCGGACGAATGAGAACGTAATCTAAATTCAAGTATCCAAACTGCCAGGTATGCATTTAATTAGCCACGAAAAGGAGACATGGCCCTTGAGAATTGCGATTAATGAATCAGATGCCGATTCTTGGAGTGCTGCAACTGACTTAAGGCTTCCTTGTTCATCATTTATAACTTTTATATAGTTCATGGCTCTCACTTCTGTCAATTTCTATCCAATTATATATGCGTTTTAGTGCGTCAGATTCCGACCGCATTGCACCACAATGGACGTGATTAAAGTTCGTGCACACTTCTTTCCAGGCCTAATAACATGAAGCCTAATCAATGCATCTGCTTTATACTTAATTCAATTAATTTGTTTCGAGTGACCATTAACGCTGATGTGTTTAGTTTTAAATTAATTAAGTAGGAAAAATGAAAGCTATTGGTTGGAGTAGGTAACTGATTATTTATCAACCAGGAGGCAGGTAATCATCATATTTTGGATGCGGCTGAACTCGTGGTGGTCCCTTTTTTCTGAAGCAAAAATGATTTGATGAATTATCTTACTCGGATCCACTATGCGTTTTAATTTGCTACATTACCATCTTTTGTGAGTTCCTTTCAACAATTTCTTGATTTCAGTTTTGTAATTTCCTTTTTCTTCCACCAATAATTCCTGCATTTTTTTTTCATTTTTACACAAAAGGAAAGCACTCCAGGGAGAATGAATCACAACAGGATCCCAATCCGTAAAACAGGAAATCAACAAGACAACAACGCATAGGCGTAGGACTGAGAATAATTAATGTTATATAGCACCATTACCATTAAAACAAAAGTAATCGCCCTATCAATGCTGGATGCCACTAAGGAAACCCAATCTTTTCTACTGAAGTTGATGGAAGAGGATTTTATCCTCCTTAATTATTTGACGTTTTTATCTTTTCCCTGCTTTCTAGTAAATAAGTCTATATAATTTTATACTTTTTAAGCACTAAAGATTAATTAGACTTCCTTATTCTTTGGAAATTATTGTTCAGTAATTTTTATAGCTAGATTAATGTAGTCATTAAAATTTGGCCTTCCTTTTTCTTTTTCTTTCTTTGGTTGCATGCTCACAGCATTAGGAGATTAACTAGAGTTTTCTAGCAACGGGAATGTTATGGTGTCACCCTCTCCCTTTCTCTTGGAATGATTAATTATATATGACCCTCTTTTTTGGCACGATAGTTCATGTTGCTTAACCATTTAGGATGTGATTAAAATGCATAAGTAGTCTCTCATATATATATATTAAATTACAAATCTAGCATAAACAAACGACATGTATGGAACATTATATGTGATGTCATTGACAAAATTATAACCATAGAGAAATAATGGTGCATTTCTCATCTAGCAGATCGTTAAGTGAATGGAGGAGCTTTTTCCAATTTATATTGTAACCCTCTATACCTCAGGAATTCCATAATTCAAACAATGTCTAGTGGCTAATTAAGTGGACCTCGTAGGAAAACAGTTTGTTTTCGTCACCAAAATGCCATCACTATTTCGATTACGTCAGTCTTCATAGTTTCAAAAGCCAACACAACTAAAATTCAGTGGACTTACGCAGAAACAATTCATGAGTAAAGCAATGATTTTATCAAACTTTATGACGTACGTGATAGTAATCATCAAGAACATGAAGTCGATCGCAAGATTGAAAATCAGAAGAATTCATCAATCATTGATGTGTCTAATAAAGGAAACGGGGCCGTGCCATGGCGGATTCCCACTAAGGGAGACCCCTGGATTTGGGAAGTTATGGTAATGGTGCCGGTGTTTCCACGCCAATTGCGCCAACAATTCTTACTAGGATTCTGTCTGTTTTAGTGCAAAGCAACAGGAGGATCCGGCCGGAAAACATGATTTATGGATAAATGCTATGGTGATTCAAATGCAAATTCCACCTATTATAAGTAGTGTATAGTTGAATTCGGTGGTGGCTAACATCTACTTTGCACATGGGAAAATGGGGGTAGTAGACTTCCCACTAGCTTGTAAGGAATCTCCTACACATACACAAACAGAATCGATCGACTGCCTAATATGATTCCTGGCCCCCAATTTGTTGGGATTCTTTAATTCTTATTCAGTTAACACAACAAGGATTCTTGGAGTGATTTTTTCTTATTCTTTGATGGATTCTTCTAATGTTTGCTTCGCTACCTCATCGTTTTTAGATAATTCTCTACCTTTTTAATAAGGCTAGGAATCGCATCCCTAATTGAGTGATACAAAAATTCTAAAGTCCGTCACCATTATCTTTTAATTAGATCCAAATTTGTTAGCATGCATATATAATTAAAGCCGAATTTTTATCTTTATGGGTGATTTAGAAAGCATATTAGATATCAAAACACTATGATAAAAATTGTATATTTACCCTCAACAATAAAGTACCTAAGGTCTAAATGATGTTTTTGTGCTCATAAAGTCACAATGGTCTACATGTGGCTGTTAGATAACAAATCACATGCATTTCTATGGCACTACGTTTCTAAAAAGTTTTCTTCAAATTCTCAATTGTGTTAAATGTTGTTCGTCATGGTATTATTTTGGATTAATAAAAAAAATACTTGATGACACCATAGTGACAGGCATCATTTTTAAAAGTAGAAAGGATTTAGGAGTAAAGGGATAAATTTGTTCTCTATTTATAACATAAATCCAAACTAGGTCCTCAAAAAAAAATCTCAATTGAATTCCTCATCTATCAAGTACTACCCAATTAGTTAAACCATTGAAATTTATGATAAAATTAAACGAAATCATTGTAAGAAAAATAGGTCCTCGTTCTCTACAATTTAAAGGAAAAAATTGCAATTAGAGGGTTAATGGGTAATGTCCAGTAGATAAGGGATCAAATAGAGATTTTCTTTTTATGAGAACCCAACTGAGAACTGGATGATAGTTGGAGGATGCATATGTTTTTTCCCTCGATTAATTAAATACTTTTTTCCGGTCTCTAATCTTGTGGTTTTCTAACGTACTCCCTCCTTAATGCATTTCTAAGCTTGTCGCTTGCGCCCAATCGGGTGCATTAATTTGCAAGAATTTTTTTTAATCTTAGATTTATAAATTAGATGATACGTACCACGTGGAGGACATCCATCTATTATTCATCCCAAGAATTGGTGAGTACATGCTAAAAGTAAAATTACACATAAAATTAAAGTTATTTGTGAATTGTAGATTTCAATTTGCTGTAGTTCCCGCGTACCTTTAACATCTTGATTGGCAAGCGATAGGATAAAGAAGTTCCGTAAAGAATTCTAAAAGCAAAGGCATTTTTCATATTACTAGTCCTTTAATATCGTGATCTAGAAATAGGAAATCACAACCCAATTACAAACTGGGAATTCATGTCACGTAAAATTCAAAAAAATCCCAATGTCTACGGCAACTATTAGGCGGTTATCTGAACTCGGCTGTGAGTCTGATAGAAAATAATTATTTGAAATTTTTAAATTTTTTTCTTTAATTAATTTTTTTAAAAAAAGTTTTGCTTAAAAAAACATAAATTAGTCTTCTTTATGGATACATTTTGAAATAAAAAACATAATAGTTTTAACTAAAATATTAATCAAGAATTTAAAAATATAATTTTCATGATATTGTATTCCAAAAAATAAAGTTATAATTAATGGACAAACTTTTACAAAAATTAAAAAAAAATTCTTATTTACTGCTGATGAGAAGATTAATTTTTAAAATTATCCACATAACATTATAGGTAGATAGAACAAAATTTTTATAATTTTTTCATTATTTTTTTTGGTGTGTTTTTCATGAAATTTCTACGTAAAAAAATTAATTTATTTTTCTTTATTCAAGGATTCTTAAATAAAAACTTGTAATGATTTAAACCTAAAATATTAATTAAGAATTCAAAAGAAAATAATTTAAAATTATATTTTTTTATAAGAATGTATTCAAAAAATAAAGTTACAATTAATGTATAGACTTGCATAAAAATTAACCAATTAAAAAATAAAATTTTATTCTTATTTAATGTTGGTGAGAAGATTTTTTTTTTTCAATTATATGCATTGGATATATATATGTAATAATCAATAAAATTAGCATAAATAATTGCATTTGAATAATTGGTTAGTTTCTTTAAAAAATTATTTTATTTCAAATAAATTAGTTCTATAATATTAAAAAATATTCATAGTAAATAATTTATATTATGTTGGAAGATGTATAGTTAATTTTTAATAAAATAAATGATTCAAAATTTTTTTATATGTCTTGATCATACCTAATGAACTGAGACAAATTATTTAATATACACTTTTAACCTTTTAGAATAAAATAATTATATATTTATATATATGCAACTATCATTTAAAAATTCTAAAAGTTCATGATATATATTATACCAATTTATTTTTTAGAAAAGAAAAAAAATCATGTTTTAAATTTTTATTCTAAAATTCAAGCATAAAGAAAAATAAATTATATTTATCAGTAAATAAAATCTTATATAAAAAATATTAATTTGATGAGAATTTTCATAAAAAATGTTAAATTCAAAGAATAAAATTTAAATAATAAGAGTAATATAAGCTGAAGTATATATTTATTTTAAAATATAAAAAGCTAGAGTGTGTGTGTGTGTGTGTGTGTGTAGGCTCCGTCAAAATGAAAGAAATAAGAAAACCAAGGATTGAAAAAAAATGTTACAACATGAGGGACTTAAAAAAGTGTTAAATTTGCATATTAATGCCCAAAAAAAAAAAAACCATACATAAAAATTATTTAAATTGCCATCAAGTGAATAGTAATTTTATACATATGAATAATAAGTAAATAAGGATTTTAGACATATAAACGGTTTGAATTCTCGCACTTTGCTATGGATCGAACTAAATGTATTTATTTCAGTTTAATAATATATATTATATTATCAATTAATTAAAATATATTAAATTAAATATAAAAGATAAAATTTCATCTAATTTTATAATTTTTAATAAAATTTTTGGGTATAAATATAATTAGAAAAGGAGAAATGACTAGTCACGCAAAAACATGCAAAAGAAATGAGAATAAAATTAATCTCTATATCGGGATATATGGCGCAGACAGGAGAAGATTATTGTTAGGCTTCGATCATTAGAATCTGCCTATATATTATGCGTGGGGGACAGAAAGATGCTTACATCCACAACCCAAAATATTTGAAATTTATGGAGGTTGGGTGGGAAAATTAAGGACCTATATATATACAGCTCTTTTTTTTTTTTTTGTTCTCTCTATATTCTAATGGGAAAGATAGCGTGAATAGATAATAATTCGTTTATTCATGAGTCACGACTAGGGATGCATACATAACTTTCGATTATGCGACCATTTGATCCATGTATACAACTACGTGCATCTTGGGTTGACATAAATGACGAATCTAGTCTCATCAAGGTTGGATTGCATGGACAGGATGTTTAAAACTTCTGTATAAAGATTTTGTGATGATCTCATCTCCACCACAATCCCTTTCACCTGACTAGTTAGCAAAGCAAATGGTATTAGCTTGCCAATTGTCCACAAATTAAATATTTCTTCCGGTCTAAGCTGAACGGACACAGCTTATTTCTTGCCTGACCTTGTTAATGTGCTGTTAAAATTAAATATTCAAATAGGACCTAGGAGAGAGGAAAAAAGAAGAAGAAGATTTCAAGTTTCATTTTGTATCTACGTACTAGTTTAATTGGAATACCCCCCGCCCGAATATATACCACAGTTTTCAAACAGGCATATTTTTCGAACAAGGTAGAAGATATAGTTGATTGTGTGGCCTAAGTTGGGAATATTGGAAAAATTATTACACATATACTGGATTCATCAAGATTGTTTGAGTGTGATACAAAAGGGTTCTTCATTAAATTGTTACTAGGTGCTGCCAGCGTCGGTCCACGTCTCGCGGATTGTTCCTGAAAGTTTGTGGATTGTCTTGTCTATTAACCATTAACGACGACATACATTCATCGTAATCTTCGTTTTGTGTTTTAAAAGTTTTTTAATTTTTAATAGCCATCGATCGGACCTTCCACGTGCAAAATCAAATAATAATACTAGTAATAATAATAAATAAATAATCCGTTTAAATATCCCAAAATGATGAATGGGGATCGATTGAGGAGTTGTGAGTAATCAAAAAAGGTTTTAAGTTAAATGCAATTACAAAGCTTGTTTGCAATGGATTTTATCTCAAAACGTTGCTATATTGTCTTTTAGCCAGAGACGTGGATTTTATCTCAAGGAAAAAAAATTATATGAAAAAGGCATTACGATGATGTCGATTACGCTATATGGACATACGTACATATCATTAGGTTCTTTAATTAACAAATCAAGATTTATTTATGCATTAAATAACCGGTTTCTGACAATATTATCGTGATTTTTTTTAAATAAAAATTTATAGTCTTTCTGTCTTTAAAGAAATTATCTTTTTTTTTAATTTATATGTACCTCAAAACATTTATCTAGTCAAAAATTTAAATAATATATTTTTTAAAATACTCTTAATTGATAAAAATCTTTCTTTCATTTCCTTTTTTTACTAATAAAAAATTTATATTCTTTATATTTTTTTATACATACAAATACCTTTAACATAACAATTTTAAAGGAAAATTTTCTGTTACAAGGAAAACATTCAATTTTGTAGTAACTTTACTCCATGTCGAAATTTAGAAGCAAAATATTTTTATTAAAATATTATTTTGTTCATAATTATTTTAAATTTAATTGTTAACTAACTTAATAATTTTTTAGTTCATTATCTTAATTTTGGATAGAATTTTTCATAAAATTAGAATTGGTTTCATGTAATGAAAAAATAAATTTGATAACTAACAGTTTTAACAAAAAAATATTTTATAAAAATACAAAATGCTAATATAACTTAACAATTAATAAAAATTTTAAAGTGTGTGAAAAATTAAAGAAAACTATGTTTTTGTAACAAAGAGAGTATTAGGTATTGTTTTGTTTTGTTTTTTTATTCCTTTTCATGTGAGCCTTTGATTTATCGATCATTCCTCCTTTTTTTTTCTTTTTTTTTTTTTTGGTAACGCAGCAGCAAAAGCGAACCACAATGCATGAGCTAATTGGAATGAACACACAAGAAACATGTTCAATGAAAGTGCACAAAGCGGGCATACTTTCTAGAAAACCACGTTAGGCTGACTGAAAACAAGCTTTGCAAGCCATTTGGCAAGCATGTTAGAGAGCAGGGACAGACCCCTAACGCACAAAAGAGAGAGCCCTCTCAGGTGACAAGTAAGGAGGTTTTGGTTTGGGACGTTTGAAGCAGTGACCAATGAAACACACGCACTTAATTGCAACATTTCATTAGTTAGCTTGTATTGCGTTACACTAAATGCCTCAAATGGCCGCGAACAGGGACTTGGAAATACCAACGCCTGCCTCTCTCTCTCTCTCTCTCTCTTCTCATATTTGCATTTTCTCGTGGTTCTCGGGCTTTTTTTTTTTTTTTTCTTTCAAAGACACTCTAGTGTTTTGAGTGCTGCCTAACGCCAGGTTTGTTTGTTCTTAAAAAATATTTTATTTATTTATTTATTTTTTCCGTCTCAAAGAGAATTTCTTACTCTTTATATATATATATATATATATATATATATATATGTGTGTGTGTGTGTGTGGGGGGTGTGAAATTACTTATTTAGTCAAACTTTAAATAATATATCTTTTTAAAGAAAATACTTCTATTAAATAAAGAAAATCAACTCTTTATTCCCTTTTCTTCTGTTCTTCACTAATAAAAAATTAATATTTTGTATACTTTTTCTTTACACGTATAAATATTTACAACATAAAAATTTCAAATGAAAAATTTTTATTACATAAAAAATATTTATTTTTATAGTAACTTTACGGCATGTGAAAATTTTAAGAATACAATCTTTTATATGAAAAATTGTTCATTCATCTACTCTAGGTCCTTTGCAACATTTAAACTACCCAACCTTTTTTTTTTTTCAAAGAAAAACCACCGTATATTTTTTAATTAATTAGAAGGAAGAATTACTTATGTTATCAGGGAATTTCCTTTCCGAAATAAAAACTTTGGTGTCCACAATCATTTTAGAATAACCAGGACATGAGAAATTCCTTTTTTCACTCTGCCATTTTTTTTTGTTACCGATATAGGTGTGACTTGGTTAGAAGCGGTTGAAAGAAATTTTTTACTTCTTTCTTTTCTTTTTTTTTTTATAGAAAAACTTGTTAGGTTTTAGAATATAAAATCAAAGATAACCCTCCGTAATTGCAAATAAACTTATTTATTAAAAAAGTTATCGTATATACAACCATTAAACTATATCAATTTATATTTACAGACCACCTGAAAGCTGATGCATCACTGATTACCTAAATAATAGCCTTAAACTAAAGGCTATTTTTTTATATTAAAAAAAATTAAATAAATACAATCATTAAAACACAAAACACCATATATCCTGGTTATAAAGAAAGCTAAATTATAATTTGTTTCGATAATTTATAATAATAAGTAATAACCTTAGACTGAAGGGTTTTTTTCCCCACACTGGCCACTGTAGTATTTTTATTAATTAGAAAATAATTAGCATTTGCTCGGAGAGTTTATTGCAGTTCCGATTTTACACTTAACATGTTCATATCTATATTTAGCATGCGGATTGAAACTTTCAAATCGATTTTTTTTCTTTTAATTAGTTTTAGCAGAAGCATCAGACAAAAAGAAAAAAAAATTAGCATAAAAATAATACAAAATCTCTCTTAATAACCTAAGTTTTTGAATAAAAATAATTTTTTCACATGATATCTATTAATTTTTTTCTCTATATGGGTAAATAAAACCAATTTTGCAAATTTATAACCAGTACTAATTGCAACCATGCTTGTATCATTGTAATTACTCAGACCGTTGGCGTGTCCAAAATATGCTAGCCGTCTGCAGAGGAACTGCGTTGAATGGTGGGAGTGCCCTAGCACCCCAAATTTTAAAACATTTTATATTTTACTCTTAAAATTTTAAATTTTTTTAATTTAAATTTATTTTGTAGAAAATACATGTTTTGCACTAAAAAAGTCATGTATTATCCAATTGACATCCCCAATTTCAAATTTTCTGGTTCCATCTCAAATAGCAATATCAACAATTATATGTTTGCAATCACACGAGCAATTGTACACAACATTGCTCTAAATTTAGGTCTTCTAGAGAATGATTGAATTTTAATTAATCCTTCTCAATCACTTTTTCAATATATAAATAGACATAAAATTCTGTGAGGGAGTCAAAGACCATTTCACTAGTAAAATTTTTTTAAATTTGAAACTTGTACAATTCTACATTAGCTCTACGTTACCTTATGTTTAATTAATTAGAAGATAAATAAGAATCAACGAAACATTTCATCCAAAAACTTAAACTGTTAAATATGATCCAAAAATATGATTTATATAATTTTCTAACAAAGAGTAATATCACATGAATTATTAATGCAAATTTTCTCATTAAGGATAGCTCTCCACGGTCCACGCCAACATATTTTCATCTATGTTTTTGTATTTATATGAAAAAAAAAAAAACAGAAAACAATGTTGTATGTTTCTTTTGTGTGGACCAGAAGGAAAAAAAAAAAAAAAAGTGGTGCTGTATATTATCATAAATACATTTCGAACAGATCTTAAGATTCAGCAGGTTCTTGTTCAGATTAAGCCAGAAACTCATCTCCAATCCCATGGTCATTAAGATGGAAATGCGTGGCTGATAAGTAGAAGCATCATGTCACTACTTTCTTCGATGGAAAATACAGCTTCTAAGCATGTATTAACCTGGCAATGATAAATAAAGATAGCAAGTATTATTAGGCTCTTCTTAATCCAACATATATCATTGTATTGCAAATTGGGCCATTTTTAAAAAGCATTTCTCATTTCTTCATAGATTTTTTCCTATCTAATTGACCTAAGATGATAAAAAGTCTAACCCGCATTTAATTGAATTAATTTCTTTGACTGTTACGAGCATGAATTTACAAACACACTCCACTGATAAACACTAGAACCCTTTCAGAACATGAGGTGCCCTTAACAGGGAAAATCTCATATTCTTAAACCCACATTGACAATTGTTTATTTTGCATGAAATATTTTTACATATGAAAAATGTAAAATATTTTTTGATAAAACATATATATCGAGATCCTTAAGTAATGGCACAAAATATTACTTTTTCCGTCCTAAATAAATTATTTTTTTATTTATATTTATCTCAAAATATTTATTTGATTAAAACATTAAATGATGCATATTTTTAAAATACTTTTAATTCAAATTTATTTTGCTATATATATATATATTCATGAAAAGAATCTATTTAAGATGAAGGTTATAACAACAGTGCCGGCTCAAGGCATAGGCCATTAATGCCTATGTCTAGGGCCCCCATAGAAAGGGGGCCTAATTAAAATTTTATCTTAAATTTACACACATGAAAAATAAGATAAATTAAAAAATATAACCTCCACCTAAGTATGAGACATCATTCTTTTCTTTATTAACAGATCATAGGTACTAAAGTTCTTGCATTAAAAGGCTCACATTGTTCGGAGATATTATTATTTCAACATTAAAAATTCTACCTTTTCTAGATGTCTTTTCGGTTATCTTCTACTTATAAAAGCTTTCAATTTTTATTTTAGTGAGACACTTTTACTTACGGAAAAGTTTTAGAAAAATATTTATGAGTGAAACAATTTTTAAATCTCCAAATTTTGTTATTATATTCCTTTCTTTCTTCAAATAATCGGAGATCTCTTATAAAACCTATACTAATTAGCTTGGCGAAGAATTTGAAGGTAATTTTCTAATCTATGCAAATAATATTATGTATATAAATCATATAATATTTTTTTTCCAAATTTCTTTTTATTTTCTCGGATGATTCTCTCTAGGTTTACTTGATTAGGTGTGACAATCAAATATAATTAGGTGCCAAAGTTTCTTACTCTTTTATAATTATATTTTAATTTTATTATTTGAATAAAATGTCTACTATAAAGAAATAATTTGATGAGATTAAAAATGAAGACATGAAATTATCTCGTTGGAGAATCTTTTAGAATTAATTATTTTACATATTTAGTTAATCATGTGATTTCCTCTATTCAAAATAGGTTTGAACAATTTAAAATATATAAAGATAATTCTGGTTTTTTTTATAGTGTAGAAAAATTAAAATCACTTGATGATGGTATTTTGAAAAAAAAATATTATTTAAATCTTGAAAACTTTCTAAAGCACGATATGTTTTTCTAATATTGATGGTTTAGATTTATTTTCAGAATTAAAAGTTTTAAAAGAAATTATAACTATGAAAATGAAAACACTACTTGCCATACTAAATTTTATAAAAAAAGTAAATTCTTTTCCAAATGCATGGATAACATATATAATACTATTAACTATTCATATTACTTGTAGCTTTGGCTGAAAATAGTTTTTCAAAATTAAAATTAATAAAATCTTATTTACGTTCAACTATGTTACAAGAAAAATTAAGTAATTTGACTATATTATGAATTGAAAAGGATTTTCTTTGTAAACTTAAATACAAAAATTTAACTAGAGATTTTACATCTCGAAAAATAAAAAAATAATATTTAAATAATATTTAATATTTATTTATTTTATAAAAGAGTCTCTAAAATATTATTTTATCTAATATCATATATATTATAAAGCCGATACTGTATAACAATTTAATTTTTACATCACGGAAACAAACCAAGATCGGTACATTTTCTTTGGCTAGCTAGTTAGATTTTAGATTGGAACAATAAAATAATAAAGAGGGAACCACTTGAATGTAAAGTCAATTGACATTACAGCATCGGCATTGGAGGCATTGCAATTTGCACCTGTAAGGCTGTAACTATAATATAGGACACTGGAGTAGTAATAATGGAATTCCAGCTCAGGGGTCATAAATGGTAAAAACTGATTCCGTGCAAATATAAAAGATTCCATCCGATATATCGCCATTTTCATTTCAGATTCTCCTCTCTTTCCCCTTAATCATACCCCCAAAAAATTTTTAAAAATAAAAAATCTCAGATTCTCCTCCATCTTGGGACCCTATATATACCTTTCCCTTCTCCGCCTTCACTCTTCAACCTCCTACATTCAACCCCTTCAAATCCTCAAATCACCGAATTCTCTCTAATCAAATGGCGTTTCGAAAATTATTTTCGAAGCGTACTATCACCAACGATTATAGAGTTGCGTCACCGGCTGTCACTCTAGACCACCTATCATCACCGATTACATCCCTTACAACACCACAAAATAATGCACCATCCAAAACCAATCTACCCGAAGAGTTTCTCACCGGAGATTCCGTCGATAAAAGTTTTTTCCGGCGATTCCTTCACCGTAGAGCCGTTAACCAGTTACCAGAATTCCTTTCCATGCCAGTGGGAGAGAAGTTAAGAGAAAAGCTCAAGGGTATCAAAATATCCAGTGACCGGCTCCACCTTGATGGTCTGACGCCTCCGGAACAGCCAACCGGAGAGGCTGCTAATAAGTTCGGAATTTCTGTTGAGAATGCGAAGAAGATTTTGAGGGTTTCTCTGGTGGAGAAGTTGAAGGCGAGACTTAGAGAGATTCCAAACGGGTCGATTTTGTATTCGGAGTTTGTTAAAATTTGCGTTGATGAGTGTGGAAATGAAGATCTAGGTGTTGAGTTTGCTAAGTTGCTTGACCAGTCCGGAAACGTCATCGTCTTGGGAAACATTGTGTTTCTCAGGCCTGATCAGGTATTAATTATTTTTATTTGATTAACTACATCCTTTGATTAACAGGTCATCCGTGTCCCGTAAAATCTGAAGAATAATCTAACATTTATTGTATACCGACAAAGGAGACTAAATTATGTCAGGGCTACTTGACAAAAGATCATTAAATCTAGCACCCCACTTTTGTCCCCAACTGGAGAAGGTTGTACCCTAAAAAGTAGAGAAATCTAACGGATCTGATTCTTCGAAATATTGACGGCCCTTGTCTATACATAGGATACAAGCGGTGCGTGTCTGTCCAAACTCCAATGTACACTTTTTTACCTAAATATTAATGTCCAACTAATTTGCACAATTCAGTTTATCATGCTGTGAGAAATTTTATTAACTATCAACATGATCTAAATTTCGTCGCTCTATTTTTTTTTGCCTTTTATGTACCAGGTGGCGAAATCAATGGAGAATATGATATCTCAAACTATTGCAACCCCTAATGACGCAAGAAGAAAACAACTCGAGCATATGGAGAAACTAAAGGTAATAATTGATAAAAAGGCCAGAACCCAGGTCCGAGGAGAGCTTTATTGTGGGCTGGGCTTCCTAATGATCCAAACGCTTGGGTTCATGAGGCTCACCTTTTGGGAACTTAACTGGGATGTCATGGAGCCCATATGCTTCTTTGTCACATCCCTTCACTTTGCAATAGCCTATGGTTTCTTCCTTAGAACATCCACCGAGCCTTCTTTTGAAGGTTACTTCCAGCGCCGATTCAAGACCAAACAAGCGAAACTCATGAAGATGCACGACTTTGATGTCCAAAAATATAACCAACTTCGCAAAGTTTTTTATCCTGATCTCGGTTATGGTTTACAACAATGCGAACATTACAAACCCCACCATGAAGATGGGGACTTAATTTCTCAGCCAATCCATGCATAGGAAATGAGTTTTAAGTATATTCCTTCTAATAATGTAGTAAGTACAGAATGAAAAGGTAACTTTTTGTTACAATGCCAGTAACTTTTACTTCAAGAATCGAATGATACTTTGTTAGAGTTTTACTAATTGAAGGCTTCGACAAGATGGTGAAAGTTTGAAGTTCCATCATACCATAGAAGCTGGAGTTAAGTTAGTACATAAGGAACAGTCAGTCTAACAGGAGCACAGGACCTTTGTTTAGCCCCAGTTTGTCGGTGTTTTTTTCCCTAAGGAATTCAAATTGTAAATTATGAAATCTAATAACTCAGCAATGGACTAATTAAAGTGGTCCAAATCGTCTTCTTTATTGTTGATGATAAATATCCAATTGGTCAGTAGTGTTTTCTTGCCTCACATGCTTACTAAATCAATCATAAAGATAACAATTCTGCTTTGTTATGCATGCTAAAATTGGATCCTTTTGAAGGATAATGGTGGCGATGGATTTTAGGTTTATTAAATCAATCAAGTAGGGCAGCGATTCCTAGCCCTATAAGAAAAAAAGTATAGATTTTTATCCAATAAACTGAAGAATCTATCAAAGAACGAGAAAAATCCACTCCAAGAATCCTTGTTTATTAACAGAATAAGAATTAAAAAATCTCAACAAATTGGGGGCTAGGGATCATATTAGGTAGTTGATTCCATTTGTGTATCAGTGCGTGTGTGAGAGACTCGTTACAAGCTAGTGGGAAGTCTACTACCCCCACTTACCCACGTGCACAGTAGATGTAAGGTGGAATTTGCATTTGAATCACCATCACGTTAATCCGTAAATCATGTTTTCTCGGTCCCCCCTCTTGCCTAGCACGAAACCAGACATAATGCCATGTAAGAATTGTTGGCTCAATTGGAGTGGAAACACCGGCACCATTACCATAACTTCCCAAGCCCGCCCTGAGTGGGAATCCGCCATGGCACGGCTCCGTTTCCTTTATTAGACGCATCAATAATCGGTGAATTTTTATGATTTTCAATCTTTAGATTTACTACGTTTTCTTGATGATTACTATCACGTACGTCATAAAGTTTGATAAAATCTTTGCTTTACAAATGAATTGCTCCTGCGTATGTCCGCTGAATTTTAGTAGTGTTGGCCTTTGAAATTATGGAGACTGACCTAATTGTCATAGTGATGGCATTTTGGTGACAAAAACAAGCTTTTTTCCCGATGAGTTCCCACTAGACAATATTATTTGAATTATGGAATTCATGAGTTCGGAGAATTACAATACGAATAAGAAAAGGCTCCTCCAATCTCCTGAGGATCTCCCAGATAAGAAATGCACATTTGTTCCTCTCTAGCAATAACTTTGTCAATGCCATCACATATAACGCTCCATGCCCGTATGTAATATATTTATGCCAGTTTTCTAATTACATTTATGAGATCACACGCAATCACATCCTAAATGATTAAGCAAGATGACATACAACAATTTATGATATCTTGCCAAAAGAAGGAAAATAAGATTTTTTGTCTCATGGTAGCCTGCTTCGTTCCTCTTATGAAACTTTCGTTATTAAAATCAGTCACACACTTTATATGTTTCTAATAATTCACATTGCATCATTAAATGATGAAAGTTTTGCTTCTGTTTTATCATTAGCAAAAATTTGTTTCAGTTGCATAATATCATATGGAATTCGAACAATTGTTTCAAATACAGTATCAGAAAGTACTGCTGGTAGAATCTCAATACTCACATGCTTGTCAGCAAAATTACAATAACAAATAGAAACAAATAGACTATGAACTACATCTATTATGTATGACGCCAAAGAAAAAGAATATTAAAGTGAATGATATTGAGATATGCAAGGAATATAATTAAACAGATAGACTATGAACTACATCTATTATGTATGACGCCAAAGAAAAGGAATATTAAAGTGAATGGAATTGAGATATGCAAGGAATATAATTAAATAGAGCCACTGTGAGGTTTCGTGCTAGAACACTTTTATTGACGATCATTTACTCTTACATCATTTGGAGTTCTTCAAATAATGTGATATCTCACTCTGGATACATCCTTAACCCTTCTCCCTCTTACTAAGACTACATAATATTCTTATGAATTATAGCTAACATCAGGTATAAAAACAATGACTTCAAACCTAGAGATTAATCGTACTCTAGCAACTTTACGTAAGGCGGATTTTTTTTTTTTTTAGATGGTAGTGAAAAAGTTGGCTGGAAGGATTCCTCTTTGGATAATAGGTATTGTAACCAGTATTCATATGATTGGTTTAATATGTATTTTTTTAATGGCTCTTATTTCAAATTGGATTCATTCCTGTAGTAATAGGATGAACTGAGTTATAGACATAAAAACCTAAGCACTCAATGAGACTCTTGTAGAATCAAATAGAAAGAAAAAAAAAAGAGGTGCTCTGAGTTTTTAATAATTATAATACTTCATTATTACTTTTCTATCAATAAATATGGTTAGATCCATCTAAAATTAATTATTCCAATGGAAGAGGAAATGGTGACCCATTCTAGTTGCTAGAAAAATCTAGTTAATCTTCTAATGCTAAAAGAAATCAAAAAAGAAAACGAGAAAAAAAGCCCAAATTTGAAAAACTACATTAATCTAGGTATAAAAATCGATGAATATTAATTTCCAAAGAACATGAGAGTTTATTTAATCTCTAGTGCTTGAAAAGTAAAATATAGGCATATTAAAATGCAAGAAAAATATATAAAAGCAAAATAATGAAGGAGGATAAAAATGCTCTTCTATCAATCTTAATAGCAAAGACAGTTTTTTTCATAATAAGATAGTTGTAAATCTTATTTTCTATAATAAAATAATTTTAAATTTATTTATCAAAATAATATATTTTATGTCATATAACAGTTATTTCATTTATATACATCCAAATGTTAGCTTTTAGTTTTAATAAAAAAAATATTTTACTACAACATATTTTATCATCATGAATAACTCTTTCCTCTAGCTTCAAACCTTTCGCTTTGACTTCTACATCCTTGTTTTCTCATAAAAAGCTTTCATCTCTTAACCCCAAACCCTATCATTAATTCTTGGCCTAGAATTCGGTTCATTTTCACTGTCTTTGTTAGGTTGCCTAATCCACCTAAGAACCGAGTTGATCTCAAGTAGGAGTTGGTGTAGTTTTGTCGTTTCTATTTGTGAATATCATTTCGGTAGAGAAAGTATAAATGAAACTAGTTCTCTTAGCCTAAGATCTTAGCTCTCTAGGATTGTGATACATTCTTGGCATAAGTGGTGATGAAAACAAATCAAATGATATCAATCATGTAACCATTAATAGAAACAAATCACAAGATATCAATCATACAAACATATACCAAGGGATTTAACGTAGTTAAGTCTTATATTATTATGATTGTATAATTAGACTATTCCCATACTTGTTATTCTTATAGTATGTATGTGTGTGTGCATGTATGTATGTATGTATGTATATGTCATATCAATAGAAGATTTAACTTATCAAGAGCATTCTTCATCTTTTATAGTATCGAGCCAAAGTTGTGAAAAGCTTATGATCTAATTCCAAACTCGGCTATAAACCCCTTTCTCCTCTACACAACTTTTAACTGCAAACTCCTCTCCTACGTGTAAAATTTTTCTTATACAACTCGTGAATCCCATCCTATATAAAACTTTAACAATCAACCTAACCTCTGTTTTCCCATAAATTCCTAACTCGTCAACTCTCTTTCTTTAATAAAAGTCCTAGTTATAAACTTATTCATCTACTTCATAAATTCCTAGCCACCAACTCCTCTTCCTTCCATAAAAGTCCAAGTTATAGACTTATTCATCTACTCGTAATACTCACTGCTCGTAAACCTTCTTTCCTTATCCTATAAAACTCTTAACTCCAAATCATGGCCAATCCAGCTCATCTAATAGTAAAGTTGCCTCATCTAATCCCTTTCTTCCACCAATCACTACATTAGGAACACAACCATCTAGTCTCATCACTTTTATTGTGGCAATTAAGTCAACCTAAATCCCATCAAACTCACCAATGGTTGGAACTATACCGCCTAAAAATCATAATTTGAAAACCTCGTTTTTTACTATGGACTCATAGGATTTCTAAGTGGAACTCATCCATATCCCCCATCACATATAAAAGATACCATAACTAAACATATGATACCTAATCTAGACCATTTGTCCCGGCTACGACAAGACGGACCACTACTCCATGCCATTCAAATATCATGCATAGGTGCTACATAATCCATTATCTCTCACTCACAAACCTCAACCTAATAATGGGAAAAACTCCAAGCCACATATGCAAACCATTCTACTAACTACCGACTTGGTCTTCTAGACTCCCTCACTCATATCGGCATAAAAGACATATCTATTTTTGAATATATGCGGGAGATCAAATGCATCATAGATATCTTAAACTAATTAACTATACGAGTGGATGATGGAGCTACGGTGATCCATATTTTTAAAGGTCTCTGCTCTTTCTACTCTTTTATTGCCTTTATTAATAAAGCACACGACACACCCATCTCATTTGAAAAACTACATAACAAACTTCGCGATCATAAGGCTACCATACAACATGATGAAGGAAAAAAAAAAAGCTCTTCGATCATTACCTAATATAATAAAAAAATTCTTCGGTAAGGGTTATGGACACCTAACTCATTACTTCTCTATTGCCAAAAACTCTTATCATTCGGCTTTTACAATAAGTTCACTTTTTCATACCATCGTGGCTCCAATTGTTGCTCGTCATGAAGCAACAGTTACCATAATTCCAATCAATCTTGATGGCATTCAAATCCTTTCAATGGTTTTACTAGACCATTATGTCAATTATGTGACAAAGTCGACCATACCGCTTGCACATACTCGCTTTTGTCCACCACCTTAAGGACGCCAATAGTGGCCTCAAACATATCAAATGTCTATAAAGTCTTCCGTTACTCA